TTGATCAATATTCGTGTACATATTTCAATTGTGTTTATGGTCAATTTATTTCTTTTCTAATATTTTTACAATAAAAAGATCAGACTTAAAATGGAATATGAACCTTAATCGGGAATATGATCATTCCCGATTATGGTTTCAACCACTTACTCTTACTACATGTAAATTGTTTCAAGTAAAATGGATTGCTACCTTAGAGTTAATGATATGCACTACACTTAGGTATCTTAAAAGCGTCTGACAAGAAAAAATGTCGACAAAGAGCCGCTTTCTGAATTGAGAAAAGTACAAAATCTCAACTGAATATTCTCAATAACTGAAGTTTTTTTATATTTCACTAGTCAAAAGTCCTAGTTTTATCAAACTGCTAACAACTAATTATAAAAAAAAACCGGCCACGTGAGAGTTGGACTCGCGCAGGAAGGGTTGTATCCGGTGCTAAGAAATAACTTCATTAGCTTAACTCTTAAAAATATTTTTTATTGTTTAGGTATTTAAATACGTAAGACAAATCAATACATAATCGGTAAAATCGAGCCTAAAACAAATTCACTTATTCCCCCGAGTGTACAATGACGTAAGATAGAGATAGAGAGGGAGGGAAAGAGAGAGAGAGAAAGAAACGAAACATTATCGTTCGTGTTTGTGTGATGTCGCGCGCGAGTGACTACTTGACGCTAGATACGGTAGTAGTAAACATTTGGTACGGATTTTAATTTATTATCTATTTTATTACTGTGGGCTATTCAACTGAATTTTAGAATCAGAGTATAGGATTCACTATTTTAATGCTGTAAGAAATGAAAATGAATGAGACGTTTTATTATGTACTGTTTACCTATTTCCTTAAATAGAAAAAGCCCTAAAACGACCGACACAGCTAACAAACAAATGGTCATTTATTTGAAAAATAGTTCAAAATAGAAAAGGTGTATAAAATGAATTAAAATTTTAAACAGGTATGTCGATTGTATGCAGATTACTACGGCCCACGAAATACATTAATTTATTTATTTAACGATGTCTTATGATAGTCGATGCTACTTCCTCTCTACAGACTGAGCCAAGCATGCTCGTTTGCAGGTGCAGCGTGAAAGTATATCACATTTCTCACTTAAACTAGTCTTTACCAAACATTAACAACGTTTAAATTTGTAAATACTAAAAATACAACCATGTACTATCTTATCAACAACAATAAAAATTTACAAAATCTTTGTCAATTAACAATTCCTAATACGTAACGTTCATAATACGTAACGTATTATGTACTTACGTACGTATGTAAAAAAATTAGTTGCAACAATGTCCTGCGACGATTTTTTTAATTTGTACAATAAAATGTTGATCACCTCGGTACTAGGCAACTAGAAGTTTAGGCTCAAACTTTAACATTGCCGCCTGTCTAGGGTTGTCATCTATCCGTCTTTAGCGGGACATGTTTGACTTTTTAGATTGTGTGCAGCTAAATGTTAATGTCACATGTCCGGCGGTATAGTTTTCATAGGTTTTTGGTATACCTGTGCCGAAGCTATATCAAATAAACTATGAATACACACAAATTCGAAAAACGTCAAATACCCAAAAAGACGCAGTGTTGCACGGGCATTTGCGAAATTTGAATACAAATCGTTAGTTTGTTTGCATCGTATAGTCTCCGAAATTACTTTATAAAAAAAACTTTTTTCAAAATAGGTTGTGCAGTTTTGATGTTACGATCAAGCCTTATTTTATGAATTCACGTTTTGGCTGTGATAAAAGCGTTAAAATTATGATGTAGTTATCTTATCTTTAATTACCGCTTATTTGTATGTTACGTCTTACTACAAAATCAATTGAAAGTTAGTGATTTTTGCTTAACGCACCCTCTGAATAACTAGGCAGTAACCCTCGCGAAGCCGTGAACTAATATTACTGTCTACTACGGTAATATTGTTTTACGGCTTCGCGAGAGATTTGACTTAGTCCGGCTTTAAGGACAAAATTTCCGATCTAATAAGAGAAGATGGCAACCCTATCCCGCTACTTCTCAGATTTAATTGCGGAACTATAGGTACCTTTCTGTGCGCCTTTGACATGCCGCACACTATGCAGCGGCTTATAATAAAGGACTCAAATTGGCGGCTTTCCCTTTTTATCACTTTTTCTTTATTCAGTTGTTCATACGTCGTCGATGTGATCACGTTTCGAAAATGTCCGTGTTCTCTAATTCCGAGTTCTATGAAAAGTGCTTTTATCAGTGTTACATGGGATGCAGTGTTGTATTGATATAAATTGAGACTATTTTGAAAAGATGTAATTATACTGAAACGTCAGTGAACCAGAGGTTGGCCGCGATCTTTAGTTTTTTCTTGTGGAATAAAATTAAGTGCCTAATAAAGTGTAGGTGAGTGAACCTCACAAGTAATGCTTAAACAGTGAATAAGGAAGTGAAAAGGTAAAGTACAAATAGTAATTCGCAAATATTTATTTTTAAATACGCCAAAATCGTTTGTGAATTATGTCGCATATCATTTTTTTTTTATTATCGTAATATCAATCAGATTTGTCGGACCATTAAAGTATGAACTAAAAGTTAGACTCGTATATCAGTGTTTAAATAAATTTTACCTATCTATCATAAATAGGTACTACTTAAAATGGTGTTTGATCTGTAATTCAGAAACAGCTGAGTCGGAAACGATGCTATGAAATGATGTGCGCGTTGATAATAATATGTATTATAATTTTTTTTACTGAAATTAGACTACCGGCTGAACAGCGTCGGTTACCATACCATTTTGCCAATGATTTGATTCCTATTTAATTTCTTTTCATTTTATTTTCGATCGAAATAGGTTAAGTATTTACTGTGTAAACTGGCAAACGCAGACATGTTTTTAAGTATATTTTCTCTCTCATTCTTAGTGTGTATGTGTGGGTGTGTACTAGGAGAATAGAAAAAAAAATTAGAAAACATAGGAGATAGGTAGTGTGCCATTACTCCTGGTAAGGTCATTAACCTAAAATAGTGATGTGACATAGCACACTCGATGTATTTATTAATTATTAAAAATTAGCCTTTTTACTGAAAGTTAAAAGTTAATGCAAAGGTTTTGAAAATTTGGCTGAGTACTGTTTATATGATATACTTCAACACCCTTCAGCTATAACGGGTATTTTTGTAACACCCGGTATATGTATAAGATACCCATGAAATAAATTATAAATTATATGTTTTTGGTAATTATTAGGGTTTAAATTTTTGCCTAGGTTACCCTCGTACGATCAATTACGATGTAGTTCCCCTAAGATGAAAGAAAGTTCATTATCCGATCAATATTTCCGAATATTACCCCCTACAGACAAATATAGTTAGAAACTTTACCTCTGTATAATATTAATAAAGATAAAATATAGATAAGATCTCGATACGTAATATACACGTGCCAAACAAAACAGTCAACGACCCAAACAAAAAAGTAGTAAAAAGCAATTAATTCAAAACAACGGACCTTATCTCATTAATGCCGGTATAATTTTCATTTCATTATATTGACATTTAAATATTTCTCTATTACAATAAGAAAGTGAACAAAGATATATTTTTTTAATCTTTAATTTTTTTAAGTAGTCTAAAATGGCTGTTTGTCAACCTTTTTAAACAACTTCAAAAAGGTTTCTCAATTCGACCGTTTGTTTGTTCGCGGATAACTTCCTCGTTAATAAATGGATTTTAACGATTATTTTTCTTACCTTATGGGTCCAATGTAGTCCCATATAAATTTTATCGAAATCCAATAAGGCGGAAGTTTTCTGTAGATCATTAAATGATAACCGCCCGATTTCAATAGCAGTTTCTTGAATAATAAATTCACTTTTAAGATAAGTATTATTTCTCTTTTTTATTTTATGTTAATTTGTTTATGTTAATTTGTCTCCCTTTTGATTTTATTGGTTGACGCTCTAAACTGAGACAGCGCTGTATTAGACGCTGTATTTTTAATATAATGCCACTGATGAACATTTGAACATTATTTTCAGACGTAACGTAAACACTGCAAATACCTATAAGAAAACTACGATCATAGTAATTACGGCAGCTGTAGTATATAAAATACAACATTTCTATCATGAAATAGCAGCGATGGAATTATTAATAACCTGATAATTATAATGTCAGGTATCACACTTAGGGTTGCCACCTGTTGCCCCCACATGTTTGGCTTTTTTAAATCATATCCATCTTTTTGGACCTGTACGCCTTATTTATATTTTTAGACCTGTACGCCTTATATTAATGTATAACTCATACAAATTAATATGACACTTAAGTGCCTATTCTAATTGTCTTTGAAGGAAAATTCGGAATATTTCGTATCGGTCTAATAATTTTGTTACAATCATATCTACAGAAATAAATGTTTATATGTTCATATGAAGACTTATCTGTGCATCACAGGCAATGTCCTACCTTCGTTGCATCATAAATTATCTATAACTGACTTTTTTGGGAGTCGTTTTAGCGTTTCTAAAATAGACGAAATTTGCTTTTCGTTGGAATAGAATAGCCATTCAGGTCTCATGTTAATTTTTTCAAATAGTACGTATACTATACTACACTTTGTGCCTTGCGGAATCTACAGTAGGTACGGTGGACTCCGCAATGTGATATTTTAAACGAACTATAAAAGCCATGTTCAAAATTAATTTGGCATAATTAATTTCCATTATATTTGGCCATTAAAGAAGATAAACTTTTTTATTTTACAAAGTGTCAACCCTAGGCACACCAGACCCAGTTTGCGGTTTGCATATCGTGTTTGACTATGGAGGTGTGATAGGTGATAACTAAAATAATAAAAAAAAGAAACACAAACATCAATATCATACGTCAGATGTTTTGACCGAATATAAAATGATTATCGTTATATCACTACATATATAGTTTCAATTAGCATGTGCAAGATAAGTAGACATGCCCCCTATATATAAAAAGGTGCGAATTTAAAACAAGTTCCATTCGCGATACAGATACTCGTCAAGAATGCCCGTCAAATTGTATAATTTCGCGCCAGAAACTTTGCGTCGTAAGTTTTTTTTTATTTAATTCAAAGTGACATTTTGTGTTATAAGTTTGTTAGATAAAAAATACAAGATCTGGTGTTTAATGTGATATTGTTTGATGTTAAATTAATAACTGGGTATGTAATTTAAGGAATAAAAATAATTATATGAACACAACATTCCTACAAAGGTATTATTTTTGTATTTTGATATTTTCCGTTAAATTTAAACAGTATGCTTTTAAAAATTGCTTTTTTTTTTAAATTAAATGCATACTGTTTTAAATTATTTCCAAAAAAGTTTTTATCAAAGCTTGAAGAGAAATTAAATCCTAACACCATCCTAAAGCACGGCCAATTTATGTAAAATATACATCTAGTAAAAAACAAAAACAATATTACCGTTACAAACATTTTATTAAATGAAAATGTTATACCTGTAATACAATTAATGAAAGAGTAACAAATTTACGGTAACAAACATTTGCTTCAGTTGAAACTTGTACTACAAAAGCAAGGGCCCGGTCCGAATCGTGTTACCGACACAATAGTATCCGCAGTGCGACGTTATATTTCGGTCACCCTTGGGGTAGGCAACCGGTGCCCAATAAGTTATTCCCACGCCATTCCTACAATGATCCCCTTATATTCCAAGGAACCTTACAATAACAAACAAATGTTCCAACAAACCAAATAATTTGTATAACAATATTTCATTTCGAAATTTTAAAATATTATTTATTTTCAAGCTGTCTTGAAGATTCTTAAAATGAAATATAATTATTATGTTTTCTTTAAAATTAGCTTAAACAAATATTAATAAGATTTTATTTAAAATAGTTCAGAAAATATTTAAATACTGAACTTTTTCTTGTTTTAAAGTAATCGTTTTTTTTTTTAATACACCAACCTTTTTTGCGTGTGCAGAGTTTTGTACTGAATTCGGGCCTTAAGGATATAAGGAATTATAATTATGGGCATGATTGGAGGCTGCATATATAAAAATACCATATTTATTAAATGCCATCCAGTAATCTTTATCACTGATTTTTTAATAGGCATTTCTGTTCTATCATAGAAATATTATAACACAAATATTTTACAACAAAGTCAAAAACATGCTACTAACTGAAAATATCCTTCATGCGAATAAACGTATTGAAAACTCATTATAGAAAACAATTTATGATTGCTTGTGAAAATAAATTCAAAACAATTAACATAACAATAAAATGTTTGCAGAGCTACCAATTTTAAAATACAAGCTACAAAATCTTACCCGTTCATTTAAAATTTAATAAAAACAAATCGATTTCATTACATATGTTTGCTAATTTGCAGAGGTCGGAATTAGGTAGAGTTATTTATGTGCTTGCATCGAAATGTTGATATTAATATGGACCTTCCCGGGATTTCTTTCATTGAAGTAAGTTTGGCAACGTCGTGCGTGCAGTAGTTTAAATTGTGTAAAAGTAAATAACTTTTTATTTTAAAAATCACGGGATTTTTTCTGCTCTTTAAAATTAATCTCGGGATTTGAGGCATATCCACTTTATTCTTTCGCTGTATGAAATCAGTGTAAGTACATGAATAACTCTACCTAATTCCGACCACTGCTAATTTGTCAAAAACGGAAGGTTTTCAAATACATTTAAGCTTTCTTGAAATGCAAATAGATTCTTTCTTGTATTAAATATTTTTTAATTTAAATTACTAGCTCAAAAAGTAGTTTACACCTATCAGTGAAAGAATTTTTCAAATCTATCTAGTATATTATAAAATAAAATACAAGTTTTGATATCTTTATATTTTTGCTAAGAAGAACAAGAAGAAACAGCCATAAAGAAACTAAGTAATTTTCTCGCGATTTAGCCCGCGTAAATTAAACCGGCGCCGGCGTATGATTTAAACTATTTCAAATCAGTCAAGTAGTTTTGGAGCGAATTCACATTCTTATAAAATCTTTCCTATTTTAATATAGATATAGATTAAATTACACACCTAATTACTTTTTCTTTATAATTATCTCTAAATTTATGAGCTATATTAAAATATCGAATAGAAACAATATCACAATTCTTTATAGTAGGTAACTTAAGGTCACCTTTACCAAACTTTTATTTAGTAATTAATCATTAAATGAAAGATTTTACATTTATATCCACTTATACGTATTATACCTATTTATTTATAGAGCAATGAGTAGCTCGGTGGCGTAGTGGATAAGCGCCGCGGCCCGCGATCGTTGTCGTTAAGCAACTTTCACAAGGGTCGGTCACGGGATGGGTGCTACTCCGTGCTTCGGAAGGCACGTTAAGCCGTTGGTCCCGGCTGCATTTGCAGTCGTTAATACCATCCAATCCGCATTGGGCCAGCGTGGAGGGTCATGGCCCATCCTCCTTAACCATCCATAGGGAAGGCCTGAGCCCCTGCAGTGGGGACGTAAAAGGGCTGATGAAGATTTATAGAGCAATAGTAAAAATCAGCCCCTTATCAAACATGTTTCAAGATTTCAACAATCTTGTCACGGTTGGTAAGGGGTCTATTGGAGACGTGCCCTGTAATATTAATAAGAGCCTGTGTCAGACCTTACATTGTTTTGGGGCTCGTTATCATAACTTCAGAAAGGTGACTGTTGATTTAAGCCTAACAAGTTCATATAGTTGCAAAGCTAGCAACTATATGAACTTGGTAGACTAAAATCAAAATCAATATAGTTGCAACTGTAAAAATTCTTATTTGATGAATATTGCATTCACAATGCTATACTGAAAAACATTCTTAATGAAAATGCTTAAAAAATCCACTTTATCCTTGGCACTCTGAGATGGGACTCGAATCCATGAACTTTCGCAATCCGGGCGACTGCTTTAACCGCTGAGCTACCCAGGACCTAACAGGACTGAGGAATTTTTCAATCACTTGTTAATTTTTCGCTAACAGAGCGTATTTTCACCAATATCAATAAAGTGTGTTTTTAAGCAATTTTCATTAAGAATATAACCATTTTAAGCATAAAAATATCGTAGAGGTTAAGGTTATAATTAATATGAGTTTAGTTTTTATTTATCACTAGCTGACCCGACAGACTTCGTCCTGTCAAAAAGATTTGTAATGTGGCAGTTTTTTTGCCTACGTATTTAAAAAAATTCTCCTGAACAGAACCGTCACCCTGGTGATAGGGCGTTGTGAATAAAAAATAATTAAATAAAACATATCAAATATAAATTATTTTTTCACTAATCACGAACTAAACAAACACTAACTAAGTAAACACTCTGCACAAAACACGATATACGAATTTGTTTCGTGTATCAGTTGACAAAAGCAAACTCAGTAGATTAGGTCACAGACAACTTTTTTTTTTTTTAATTTGATATGACTTGAAGTCAAATCCTTTTAAGCCGTACGAATTGTTTTATTGATTTAAAATTTGGATATTAAAAATAATAAAACACTGTTGGTAACGCGATTTTTGTTTGACTGATGTAATGACGTGGAAACTGATGCATTTTATCTCGCGTGCCGAAACTAATACAAAAGAAACGCGAGTTTCGGAACGCGACATTAAACTCCTCCAACTATGTATTCTGTGCTCCAACGCACACACGCACATTGTTTTGATAGATATGATCTTTGACGTTAGGAACACACCTACATTGCTTAGACAACAGTGAGTGCTTGTAATTTAATATGAACTTTATACCATAGCAATAAAGCTCAAATTGACTACGTTTTAGTTACAAATCATTTGTATGGGAAAAAGAAAAGGGCTATTTTTAGGGTTTTTCCAGCAATAATTCTAATTTTTCTCGCCGTAAAAACCATCCTTGAACTTCAACGAACATTTTAAAAAAAGATTTGGCCAAATTGGTCGAGGCGTTGTTGAGTTATGCGCTTACCAACACATTTTGCGATTCATTTTTATATATATAGATAAATGGATATAATATTTTCATAAGAAAACTTGTATTATATGAATTCGCAAACAAAACTAAAGACATGGCTCTACACACCAATTACTTTGTATTTTCGATAAATCTACCAACAAAAGAAAAGACTTCCTTATTTACATAAAAAGCATTTGAAATCGAGAATCGCAAAGTGTGCTTTTATAAACCCTTTTCAAGTTAAAATGTGACTATTGCCTGGAGACGTGCCGGAGCAAGTAAATGATGTGCCTTCACGCCCTCTGACTGTCATTTTAAAAACCGCTACGTAGTGCTTATAAATTGCTATTTCCTTTGAACCGAATGAAAATTGATGGTTTCAATTTTGATACGGACTAAGAAAGTTAGAACGTGATAGAAGTATAACTTGCAACTTTGGCAAGTTTCGTAGACTAACAAGACGCCATCTTGAAAGATCTTAGGTTTCAAGCTGCGCGTCGGATGTATTAATAGTTGCGTTTTGTTTCTCATTTCTATATAATATAAGTATCAAAAAATCTTCTATAGTAATTTAACCGACTTCAAAATCCAAAAGAAAGAGGTTATATGTCCGACGGCGATGTGTTTTTTATGTAAATTCGCCGATATTTCCGCAATATACCTAAATATTTAGATGATATGTATCGTATTTTATGTATCTCAGCTGAAAAACAAAAGATTGCGTATTTTAAATTCATTCAAAATCAGAAGGGAGGATTTTCTATGTTCAAGGATTATATTTTTTTTTTAATATGTAATTAGTGCATGTTCAACGTTTTCGCAAACGTTTTCAATTTCAATATATTTTAATAAAAGTAGGTATATCAATCGATTTATTCTTGATTTGTGAACCAATTTCTATCAAGCTAGCTGTTTCCCCGCTACTTTGGCTCTATAAATTACAGTTCTATAAGGACCACGCGGGTGAAGCCTGTGGCGGAAACCTAGTATTTATTATTTTTGAGTTACAAAATATTAGCATCATTAAAAAGCATGTAATACAAACTTTTTGAAAAAATATCCGACTTCAAACTTTAAAAACGTGATAAATAATACTTATCTCAAATGCGACTTATTCAAGAAAATGCTATTGAAGTCTGGAGCCTATCAGATAAATAAAATTGTTTTATAATAATAATATGCTTTATTGTACACAACATAGAGCAAAATAATGATTGCACAACGAAAGAAATAAAGAAATAGTATGCAATACTCTGCTTTATATCTAGATAGTATTATAGATAGCATAGATTTTCCCATCAGATTCAATCCGCTTCTATATATCCCTCCACTTTCTACCAATTATAGGCAGAATGCATATCTTTGGCGAGCTTTTAACAATTCCAATGACCTATCAAGGCAGGCAAACTTAGGTCTCTTCGACACTAGCGAGGTTTCGGCTAGGCGTATTTATTAAGCAATATGTTCTTCAACGATTTTTTTTTTTATCATAGCTGCGGTCTTGTTGTATGTGTGATCACTATTATATTGAAATGCATATTTAAAGTAGTATGTCACTAACGGTAGAGACTTTTAATTGGCTTTTGCTTTATTTATGGTTTTGTAAGTTTTTTTCATTTTATAGCTGTAAATCTTCCAACAATTTTAATAAATAAATAGCAATCTCTTCCAGGCAACTTCATACACCAAATGTTTAATTTAACAATACTATTATTTTTTCTGACAGCAACATGGGTGAACCGATGCAGCGAAGATCTGGAATGCCTGGATCTAGAAGAGGAACAGCCTCTAGCGCAGCTAAGCAGCGTTCAAACAGACAAGCTGACGCTCTTCTTCACAGAGTTGCTGGACCACGACCGCGATGACGTCATCATCGACCAGGACTTCGATCATTTCTTCGAGGTATGAATGAATCTTTCATTTGAAACGAGGGGCGAAAGTTTAAAGTTATCTATAGTTAAAATGATCCCCAACTGTGAAAATATAATTCCAAAAAGCAAATGATAAGTCTTCATTGATTATTTAATTTTATATCTTATTTTCTAAACTAATGCTATAAAACACCATTTAATTAAAGCAGTATAAATCCTGAATACTATAGCGAGTGTTGATTACTCAATAAATACATACTACACAATATAAATATACTCCCTCAGTACAAAACATTTCATCAATTAAATGCAGGTACGAATCTTCCTAAGATCTTGACGGCCTTAAGGCCAGGGCCCGTGGATACAAATGGCCGTTAATTCTCAATATAACAATATATGATACAGTATTTTTACAATAAGTACTATTGAAAACAATTTCTTAACAAATTAACAATTACTTCAATAATTAATAGGCCCCTGAGTAGTATCAACCCAGATCCCACAAATTCATGATCTACCCCTTATTAAGCGGGTACAAGGTCACATCTCTTATCCAGTGTTGGTAACACCAATTATAATCATTTCGTTATCAAATTATATTCTGTAATTAAAGATAAAACAGATAATGGGTAATTATGATTAATATAAATCCTTCTTGTCGACAGCAGACGCTTAAAATATGACATGATAGATAACAATGATTTAAAAAGGCTTAACATTGGAAGTAAACCTTCTATTTGATACGTATCCAGATAACTTTTTATTCAATAGTTATTCAATATACTGTATTCCTTATATAAAATGAAACAGAGGAAAATCTCCGCAAGATCTTTTATATGTTTGTGATACTCAAATGCAGATGCCTTCCGACTTAAAATAAATTCAATAAGAACAGTCGTAGTTCAAGAAATTACAATATATTTTAAATGTTTACTCATCCAATGGTTATTTCACCAATTCGCTCTATAGAATGAGATTATCCTCGACATCTATCTGTTTTATAAATTACCAATTTATTTTTCGAGAAACAATTTGCTTTTGTACAAGCGAATTAAAAACAAATGGGCGCTTTACAGAAAATGGTTTAATAGTATCAGAATAAGTAATCCAAGAGTGCGATAATGGAGAACATCCATTGAATACTGGAAAACTGGAAATTGAATCAATTTCCTTAAGCCCAGAAATATCTGGTTACAGTAGAAATATAATTAATAATATCATTATGTTTTGTAGCGAGATAAGCACTTTCTTAAATATCTATGTTCTAGTAAAGAAAGTTTTAAATTACATATATCTTAATTTCCTTTAACTTATTAAACTACCTATATTATAATTAATCTGTATTCAAGAGTTTAATTAAACTTGTTTATAGGAATTATTTTCCTGATAAGTTTGAAGTAGATTCTTAAATTGCCACACACAATTTACCAATTAAGATATCTTATTTAAGTGATAAACTATCTTGTATGTATGAAGCACGATTTGATTGATTGTAATATAGGTAATGTTATAAGTTCGGAAGTTTGTGAATATGTTTGTTAATCCTTTACGAAAAAACTACTAAACGAATTTTGGTGTTTCTGTATTTTAGTTTATATTTTATTGTTAAGTAAAAAAACTTTCTATTTAACTACATTTCATATTTTTTCTCTAAAATAATTAATGGGTTTTAGTTATAAACTTAGATGGGATACATTTACCGCAGGTACCTACATGATATTGACATTCATGATATATTTTTCCCAAACTCAAAATTTATGAAATATCATTCGAGGATATGAGATGTCATTTTTCTGTAAAAAACTTATTTCATGACCGTTTTTAAGCTGGGGAATTGTTATCAACACAAATAATAATGCAAATATTATTTCTGAAGTGATAATACACTTTTATAACACCATTCGGTGCAGAAAATTGATAGTGGCCCGCCCCCTTCCTCTTCTTGAAGCCGGATTTTATAACACCATATTTTTGCAGTGTATGATTTTATTTAGGAACTTTGAATACATACCCATTTTACTGTTATTTTGTAGAGTGTTCACCTTTTTTTTCTTATCTTTAACCGTACTACCTATATCATGATTTTGACGCCTAATACCCCACTCGATCCCTAGATCCGGTCCTGCACTGCACCACAGATACACATAAACCATGGTAAAATATATTAAATACCTCCGTAACTAAAGTGGCTTTATAATACATTAATTAATTAAAAGAAAAATAGTTATTAAGATTTAAGCATTACCTTACATTTGAAAAGCTTTGATTAAATTCAGTATTGAATTTCAGAGGCTGGCACATTTCGCCGACTGGTCGCCCAATTCGTCCGAATTTCACATATTACTTGAAGTGAAGCAAGAGTTCGTCGAACACTTCATCAATCCATTGCCTACAAAGTAAGTCAATAATTGAATTTGATACAAAAACTACTAATGTTCCTTCATAAAAAAAAACAATCTACTCGCCTAGTAGAAGGGCAAATGACCCGTTATACCAAACCAATGACCAGTTTAAAAGTTAGGGCAAAGTTAACTTTGATAGATCATAGCTGCCACGATATAAGTAGGTAAAGACCGTATACGGCATAATAATAAATTTGCCTATATGTATTGAAATATAATTACCTACACCTTAAAGTCCCAAATGGCCAAAATGGGCTAGTGGTAAACCCGGGTCATCTACCCTAGAATGAAAGGCATCCAATAAGTACCTATTGCTTGAAGTTAGTCATGCTTTTAACTACTTTAAGACGACTAACATACTACCAGTCCACTAGCCTGCAAGAAATCCGTAACGTCAACAAAAATGGAAAAAGATAAATAATAATCGCTGTATATCTGACGGTAGATACGTCGCGATTCTTCGGTAGCTGAACGTCAGGACTGACAAATATATAATACTTATGACGCTCGACACTAAATCTCTACTTGTCTCATTAACTAAGCTCGCGAAATCGTCTCGTTGTCTCTTTATGGTCACCCTTAACTTCTAATTCAATTTTTATTATTTATGGCTAATACGAGGGTCAAACTGAAAGTTCTTAGAAAATCAAAAACTGATTACATTAGCCAGTTATTAGTTTTATTATATCTTTTCAAAATATTGTCCACTAGTGGACGCCCGCGACTTCGTCCGCGTGGAAGTCGGTATCCCGTGGGAGTGAGAAGTTTTCCCAGTAAAAAGTACCCTATGTGTTATTCTGATGTATAACCTATATTGCTGTAAAGTTTTATCCAAATCCGTCCAGTAGTTTTTTCGTGAAAGAGTAACAAACATCCATACATCCATACTTACAAACTTTCGCCTTTATAATATTAATAGGATTCACGTCAATACACCGCTGCATGCGATGGAACCACTGGGAAAAGCACTTTGCCTACTCGTCCTTAGGGGTCTCTTCAATGGCATCGCGATACGCAGCCACCGCTTCTTCAGCATTCATAAACCGCTTTCCTTTAAGTTTTTCTTTAATTTTTGGAAATAAATAAAAATCACAAGGCGCGAGGTCGGGGCTATACGGCGGGTGACCCAGTAATTCAACGTTTGATGTCGCCAAATAGTCGATCGTTCGCTTGGTGGTGTGCGACGAGGCGTTGTCGTGGTGAAGGAGGATCCTACTGCGAGGTCGTTTCTCTCGAACTTTTTCCAAGACAAGTGGCAAACAATTGGTAGTGTACCATTCTGCAGAAACTGTTTTTTGATCCTCTAACACAATTGTTGCAAAATGACCTATCCTTCCAAAGAACGAGGCCACCATTTTTTTTCCCGCACTTCGATCTCTCTTCACTTTAGTTGGCAACTCCTCGAAAGGAAACACCCACTGAGCAGATTGTCTTTTGGTTTTAGGATCATAACAGTAAATCCAGCTTTCGTCACCTGTTAGTATGTCGAACACAGCATTTGAGTCACCTCCGTTAAATCTTTCAATCATTTTACGACACCAATCCACACGATGGAGTTTTTGAGCCTCAGTCAAATTATGAGGTATCCACCGGGCGCAAAGCTTCCTGACCGCTAAATGTTCGTGGAGGATTTTGTGCACTTGACTCATACCGATGCCTAAGCTTGTCCGAATCTGTTGATAGGTCACTCTTTTGTCAGTCTCTATCATACGCCGCACAACACAGATGTTATCTTCAGTCGTCGCCGTAGAAAGCCGTCCCTCACGTAAATCATCAGTGAGATTAGTGCGACCACGTTTAAACTCATTAAACCAGTTGTAAACAGTCGTACGAGATGGGGCTTCATCGTGAAAGGCCAATCGTAGTCTATCATAACTTTCTTGTTGACTTAAATGACATCGAAAGTCATAAAAAATCATTGCACGAAAATTTTCTCGTGTTAAATTCATGATGACGTGACACAGACAATTTTTAATTTGCCGCCAATCCTAAAACAAATGACAAATGAATGAAATATATACTCAGTAATATTGGCAAAGAGTTATATTTTCAAATTTTAGAATTATTTTTTTATTATATTGTTTATAAGTGGCCAGTTCTAAGAACTTTCAGTTTGACCCTCGTATAGTACAAGTTCGTGACGAAAACGCGCAAAAATTATGTAACGGTTAAAACTACAATATATCACTCGGTACGCAGTGTGATGGTATATTCTGTTAAAAAAAAACACTGTGGAATACGCAGCGCCAGCTTCAATAAAACAAAAACTTAATTATTATCTTTTGAAATACTATTTGATTTTACTTTCATGCTATGACAGCGCTCTACTCGAAGTCGGTTTTTAGGCTGTTTTTTTAAATGATAGCACTGCAGATGATATAACGTAAAATACTCTTGCAAATTTTTGTCACTCGGTCTCCGTCTATGAGCAGTAAACGTACTGTATTAAATTGACAGTTATTTAACAGGTGGGCGGAGTTGCCTTATTACAGAAGGGTATGTGGCCCAGAAGCTAGCGGTATAAATATGCCAGGTAGAACTACCCTCGAGGGGTGGTTAGCGCGCTGGGCGCTATACCTGAACCAGGCGAAACGGTTCACAGATCTACCACTATATCTTCAATACCTGTGCAAGATTTTATTCCATGTGGTCGACAGAGATGGTAAGTTATATTCAAGTATCACAACGCCATTCTTATGCCTTAAAAGGTTAAGTAATCAATGTAACCCAGTCGATTAAATCAGCACCTGTCTTTCTGTGGGAACAACTATTCATAAGGACTCATAAAGAAGGGACATAAATTTAAGGGTCAGATACATTTTCCCTGAACAATATAGGCGACAAAATATTTTCAATTAGTAATTTTTGTTCAATACCCTTGCGAAACCGGGCCGTTAGTATTAATAAATTAAAATTATCTAAACCAAACTAAAATTCAGTAAGCTGAAATAAAAAAAAATGTAAGATATAATTAAAAAACTAAAAAAATATTACAAGTCTGAATGCTCCCAACAAATGAGTGAGATTTTTCGCCTACGTTTGTATACCTAAGAGTATTCTCTTGGTTCGAGTAAATTGAGTACTCTTATTATAGGTTAATTTTGTTAGTGGCATTTCACAAAGATCAAAGAAGCTAAGGTAATTATAAGATCTTGCTTTTAAAAACTTATTTCTGTTGCATGAAAATTATAATTCCATTCAAAATACCTATCAGTTTCTGCGCTGCGTCTTTACGAGTACCTATGCCTGAGTTTTACAACTTTAATCTTTTATTTTTCATACAAATACATTCTTATTTAAACTGACCTAATTAAATTAATATTTACTTAAATATAAATACAAAATTTTCATTAAAATTTTCAAATCACAAATGAATATTTGTAGGTAAGTACGAGTACAATTGAGTAACCAAAACTTTTTGATAAATGTCTTTGCAAATTCGTCAGTTATTAATGGAAAACTTGTTCCAAATCACAGTTCCTTCTTTTAAGTGGTTTTAACAAGCCTCTGATCTACTTAAATGTATAAATTTTGAATAATAGAATCTGACAAAGACCCTTTTTTTTGTATCTTAGTGATAAGATAAAATGGTCTTGATAGGGTAATTTTTTCAGTTAAATTGTAAAAACTAACCTTTATATCCTGTCCTTGGATTAAAGAACCATTTGCATACGAAAACCCTTATTATTATAGTGCTGCTTCTTATTTTCGCCACTAACTAGTTTCTCGCGACTTCCGCCGCGTGAATTATAGTCTATGTCACTTACGAATGTTGTAGCTTTCCATAGACACAGATACACATATTGGTGAAAGAATTTCTAAAATCGTTCTAGTAGTTTCGGAGCCGATTCACCGCAAATAAACTATCAAATGTTTAGCGACTCTCAAAGCTGAGAGATATATTTATATTCTAACTATTATATTTCAAAAGTTTTAATACAGTACTTATGAACCTTTTTATAAACGTAAGCAACTTCTGAATGGGCATAAAGTCAAATGATTTGCGCCCGGCAATGCGATAGGGACAGAGGAATTGGTGAAAAACTATTTTTAATCAACTATTTTTTTACAAGTAATTACTTCTACTCGACAATAATGTAGATGCGAAGTTAGTGATTTAGGGTATACGCCCCCTCTTCAGACCTCTCCATTCATTCAATCACTACATACACATATGAAGTATGTATGCCACGGAATTGATCTATGTCCAATTCCGTGTCAGTTGACTAACAATATCCTGGAGCGACAGGCGGTCAGTCCCGGTAATTGTTCGTCTCGTATCAAAGCCTTTGCAATAGTAGTGATGGATTAATTGGTACACGTACTAAATTGGCCCTATTATTTAGCCCTATTTATTGAAATCCGTATTTAGTGTTGTGTCGTCAAATACATAACAATGTATAAAAAAACTATGGTATAAATATTGGATTGGATTTGATCTGATAATTTGAAGATTCCTATGTAAATTACAAGATTTCAAATTTTCCGGATTTCCTATATTTTCCTAACTTTGTCTTTTTATTTCTCAATAAAATAAATTTAATGTACAGAGTCCAATTTAATTAAAATGTTATGAATATTCTAGCAAGATTAAAATAATTCTTAGGAAAATATTCTTGTTCTCAAAATTCCTAGTATCATTAAATTGTCCTTTTACTGCAGAACAATAAAAATATATCTAACTACATACTGTTGAAATAGGAGCACTTTGCATTTCTCACTCAAAAAATTTGCGAATAAAGCTGGAATTGTTAAGCTCCATTTTTTGGTAAATGTCCAAGTACCGTTGGCACATTGACTAAAAGTTGCAGCCAAACGTTATACTGTACAGTGAGTGTTTTATAGGTGAATCGCTCGTATATATTGTAGTTAAAAATAATCATCATCATCATTATCATCATCAGCCCTTTTTACGTCCCCACTGCAGGGGCTCAGGCCTACCTTATGGATGGTTAAGGAGGAGTTAAAAATGTAAAATGTAAATGTAGTTAAAAATTTTCGTATTTAACATAATATGACCAGACTTGACATGACAACTGACGGCTTGTTTTAAAACCATTCTGAAAGTAAAAGAAGGAAAGAGTTGAAAGTGGAGTCTAAAGTTTAAAAACTAATGAAAGAGAAGTCTTTATCTTTCATTTATTTTTAAACTTTGGATCAACCAATAAAGCTGAATTTACTTTACGAAACTAGTTACATGAATTTCATTGCACTAATTTCACGTGGCGCGTTGACATCGACGTCGAGCACAGAACTGTTAATAGAGCTTCAATCAAATAAAACCCACTTCAAAAGGCAATACGGGTTTTATTGCAGAATAGTACTACTGGAAATGTAACGAAAACAATTGGCAATTAATGAAATAGAAAAGAGACAGGAGATGGCGTATGGGGCGAAATATAGCGTCAATAAGTACTTTTAATTAATTACTCGCCAACTATTACGGTTATTGTAAACATTCTCAATACCATCCCTTAGCTACGCAGTAAGTCAGATTTAAATTTTTATAGGTGACTGAACACGACACTGTTTCATTTTTACAATCAATTTAAATTTAGAAACTTTTGATTCAGACTCCCTTCTTTATGGACTACGAGTAAAGCAATCTTCCAAGCGTCATTAACCTTTTTGATCATTTATTTATCACACGCAAGACTTTCATTCATCACTTAATGTTAACATAATAAACAACATAAGGAATATTCTGTAAAAAATATCTGTATTGATATTATTCTTTAATTCCGTCGGATATCAGTCGATGGATTTCAGAATATGGCCTTTATTCCAATGTTGCGGCAGTGCGGCTGTTCTTTCCTGCTTCGTTTCGTTATTTCCTTAGAGGCTCTTTGTCCCGAATTTTGATTCAAAATCTCTTGAAAATTATGTGAAAGTTGCCGCTCCGATAAACAGAGTATGTAGTTAGTAGAGTATGTTAAAGAGAAGGAAATCTATTTCCTTTAAAAGCTAAAACCAAATTTTTATTTGGGGTTAACGTTATTCTTCTGCTGCATCTTATTATAGTACCTAATATAATTACAGTCCTGTACACTATTATATTACTCAGTTTGTTCCGAAACAAGGTCTGAATCGGAAAACATAGGTTTCAAGACAGGTATGCAGACTGTAATCTAGCTACTCCTCTGCGTTCCAGCGGTCAGACCCTGCACAGTGGACTGTCAGAGAAACCTAGATATAAACTCATTCACACTTAAGATTTCGCTTCATATTCGTTCACGGTTTCTGCTGCTAGACTCTGGAACTCTCTACCTGGCAATATACGATACAATAAAAGAATAAAGGATTATGACCATTCCTTATGTTGATTTTGGAGGGTGTATTATTGACCCTGATATAAGTTTTTTTCTGTATTTATATTTTTCATATTAATTTTATTTAGGAGGTGCCCGTCGACTACCTAACTATATTATTCCCTGTTTTGGATCTGATTTTAGAAATTTCAACTTAAAATATAAACAATGCCAAAAGGCAATAGTAAAGGGCAAAAAAAGACATAAGTAAAAGTACGAATATCAAATAAATAAAAAGTTTTCCTTTGATATTCTCAATTAGTAATAAGTCTTAGTATATGACTTGGTAGGTTTGGTATCGACACAGTATTATCTGTGGTATTATTAATACTGTGCTATCGAGGTTTTGGTGGCGTTATTATAATTCTCGCTCTAGTAAATTATGACAATATCATGCTGCCACTACATGAACCCTTAAATAATTTTGATTTTGCCTTGCGACAACTCAAGCTCTAGAGGGTCGATATACCGTCAGCCGCGAAGTGCAAATACTCCATAATTTCTATATAGTGAAGCTATTTCCCTTCTGAGACTCGTCGTAAAAAAATATTACCTTATACGCATAACTAAAAAGAACCTCGAGATGTATTATTTAAATTATGCAAACTTTTTTTGTGTATATTAGGTATCTTTTTTCTTGTAATGGATGGAGGAACGGGAGTAAGAAATATTAATTTGTATTATAATATTACGAAATAAAGCAAATAAGTCTAGCCGCTTTAGTGTTCTGATAAAAATCAGAGTCGAACGTAGTTCAAACATAGCACTGTTGTAGACTTCAATTATTTAATTCATTCCATAAATCCTTGTTTAGCCAAACGCTTATTATATTCGTACCTTCCTGTGTGACTATTTATACCTCGTCCTAAGACTGCAGCAAAGACTAAAACGGTCTCATCTGCATATTATAATATAGGTACATCCCATATTCAGTTAAAGGGAATAAAATCGGGATTGCTGGGTGTGGAGCAGTCTCTGCTGGAACCCTGCTTCCCCAAAATTCGGTGGGTGGGTATGCCATCCGCGTATTGACTCACCTTCGAGCGGGTCCATGTCGATGAGGAGTCCCACACACCCTCATGTAGCCTGTCAAGCGGCAGTAATAATGCATAATACATTCCCCTTACAACACAAATAAAAAGTCATAATTTCGAAAATAGTGTTGGAATTAATAAACTTCCTTAAAGCACGCAGGTTTATTTATTATGTTTTTTTGATACAGGTACAGGGGCAATAACGAAGTCGGCATTAGGAGCATTTTACAGGTCCGTAATAGGGCTAACTGCCACCCGTGTTGAGGAAATCATAGACACCGCGTATGACCGCATGACGAGCGTAAGTATCTTATTAACCAAATTAGCTACCCGTAGGTGAAAGAATTTTTAAAGTCAGTAGTAGATTTGAAGCTTGGTTGATGCAAACAAAGAAACATATATACAAACAAACAAATACTCAATCTTTTCTCTATAATATTAGTATAGACAACAACAACTTCTAACCGCTATAGAATTTTACTAACATAAGAAATAGTATACATATAATAAGGTTTATCATGATGAAATATATATATATATATAAATTTTTAATTTTTAATTTATCAAATACAAAAAAAAGTATTTGCAATATTTTATTTATTTAGATCACGAAAATTCTTTTGAGTAAAAATAAAATCAATCCATATCCCTAACGGTCTATTTCGACAAATGCATTTACAATTCCAGTTAATTGTTTTTACAGACTCTTTTCCACTGCGAATCTTGTGTTTTATTTTAAAAAGGGCAGGTTTTTTTTTCTTTCAACACTATAAATGTAAAAGAAGAGAATTAACTACCTCACGGCTGGGACACAGCACAAATTTAGTTGCAGCGGGGACCATTTACTTAATATGCCTTATCCATTTACTTATTTACCCATCCCATGACCAACCCTTGCGTAATTTGCTTAACTTTTGCATCACAGACCAAACGCGTTAACTACTGCTACTATTTTTTTCTTTCTCAGAACGGCTACCTAATCCTAGACTACGGCACCTATGTCCATTGCTTCACCAACTGGCTGATGGGTAAGAACCCCAACGGCCCCGGACAGTGGGTTCTCGTTCCGCCTAAGGATTCATTACCACAACCACCATTCCCTGTCGACTACAGCGCATTAAACACTGAGCCAGCGAAATTGGAACCTTATGTACCAGACAAAAAGACTAACCGACATTCTGTCATTGTTTAATAGAACTCCTTTAGTCAGTAGATTTGTAAATACTTACTTTATAATTGAAGATTATAGAAATAGGGTATTATGCCTTAATGAAGTATGATAAGTACTGCTATTCGCTTAGATTTTTTATTCTAAAAAGTGTTTCATCACAAAAGAATGACTATTTACTTATATTAAGTTACAGTCGAAAAAACTATTGCTTTTACTTTCAAATAAATGTGTTTTATTTTAAACAATAAGGTAGCTTATACTGGATTCTGAAGATGTAACGAATTCTTTATAATAAAACGAAGGGTTCTTCCTTTCATCTTGTTTATTACAGGAATAATAACAAAGGTAAAAAAGAAACGACACCTTATTACAAGGAACCTTATTTGCATCTGTTTATTTTTTATTAACTTCCACAAGAGCTTTGCATAACCAAGAGATAAGTCCGTTTTATTTTGAATCGATAGTACGAGTACACGCAATTTAGGTTGAGCTGCCTAATGATTGAATTTTATTAGGATAATTACACACAATTTAAATTAAGCCGAATTTAATCATTTAATGCAGCAGTATACATTTCTTCTTCTCCTTTTATTATTAATTGACATATCAGTATGAATTATAAATTTGCCTCTAAATTATTGACCATCGACAAACTTCAGACGAGTGATTTAAAATCAAAGCTGTCAATTGGATCGATACGTAATCCGATTTTGTACAATTAATCGCTATTAATAGCAATTGTCCCAGTTATTCGATTTATTGATACTATTCGATCGTATTTAATGTAGAAGGTAAGTAGTAGGTACAGTTAAATAATTAAGAAATATATACATTACTGCTTCAATCGATCTAAATACAATACGCTTTAATTTTTATGATTTTATGTATTCAAAAGTCTATTAGTAGTGTATTAAATATAGATTTAATTAAATGATAAGTGACACTTTTAGATTAAGATTTCGTATATTTTGTTGTTATTTATATATAATAACTATCAAAGGACATCGTCGTGATTATAAAAAAAGGAATGTATTTACAACGCTTAAAAATCTATTCACTAATTGTAATGCGATTTGACCAATTCTATCTTAAATTATGTGTATATTTAAGTTAATGTAAATATTAGATTAAAAGCACTACACGGTAATCAAAAACTGCCTTAAAATAAGCGTATTCACATTCCACGATAGCCTTATTTTGTACCTTAGATAATAAATAACATATTGTAAATTTAGTTATATTGTTAGATTCACTGAATCCACGTAAATAAAAAAGTTCTATTAACTTTTCGTTGTTTTAATGCTTTAGAAAAATAGAGTTTTAACTAATCGTAAAGGTAATAACTTACTTATTCACTAATACATAGGTTACAGAAAAATATATAATTTTGTTTTTGGAAAATCTAAAAAAACGTACCCAAAAGTAAAGTTAAAATGCTATAGAATAATTGTAAGCTACTTACAAAAATAAACTTGTCTTTTTTTTCATTAAAAAGACTGTTATTGAGCAAATGCTATTAAATATCAGTACAGCGTTGTGAATGTAAAAATCGAAAATAACAATGGAATCATTTTCATTTTTAATAACAATAACAATGAAAGTATAAAACATATTTTAATAATCCCATTGCCAAACATATATGAGTACCTACTTAAATATTATTCATCGCCATTCATTAAATTAGTAGCAACACTATTTTTTATAAAAAAAAAAAAGCTAAAACGTGTATTGAATTTGCAGTTCCATTTTGGATAGTAAATTTGAAAGAGTTCAACAAGATTTGTAAAACGCTTTTGAACGTTTTTGTTAGTAAAGAGTTTCAAGAGAGCGTTTGTTGAATGATTGATTGCGGAGTCAAAGGAGACCGCGGACTCGTTTGGTCGTCAATCATGTGGCGTCATAACCGGCAAATTGTGCCCGGATTTTATAAACTGTTGTGAACCGGCATGTCCTCCTTGGTAAGTATAAGTATGTTTGTAGATAATTTAAAAATCGCATATTACAAAAGTTTTTAATAACATAAGTGCAAAAAAAATTTCACCGCTGTCATTGTCCGTTTTTTCGTCTGCACTTACAACAAACCATAGTTAATAGAATGAGAGAGGGTGTGACGATCCTCAGCAATAAGAAATACGACTGAAAGGAGATAAATAACCCCTGTGATTATATATAACTCTCTCCACTACCCGACGATCTCGGTTACAAAAGTTGTCTACATCTTATCAATTAATTTATTAAGTACCTACCTCGAGTGAAGGTTGCATGATTAATGTTTCACATTGCTACTTCATTAGTAAATAGCAATCTATTAATAGAGATAAATCTTATTACTCTATCAATGATGTACGCCGACATTAGTTTACTAATTTGTAAATGTAACTCTGCCTCACATTAGAAGATATATGTAATGGCATTATTTATACGAATAACTTTTAACTATTTTATATCATACTAAAATTAAAGCTATGCTATATCCGTCAGCTCTTTGATTAAGTAAATTGTATTTCTATACACAGTGGAAACTAATAAAAATGCGAGTAAAATATTTTGTGGACATCTCACATGCCTATTCGATTTTAATAATACTTCTACATATATAACTATATAGTCTATCACTTTTTCTTTAATTAAAGGACCTCACCGCTTCAGTTTTTTAGCTTTATGCACGCCATCAAATAACTATATAATCGCTATCAATAAACTAAATAATAACACCTATTATTAATATTGGCGCCCAACGTGGGGCGCGATATTCCGGCAATAATTTAGGAACTAATAAAACGGTTATATGGCGTTATAATCGAATCTAATTTAATTAACCTCGGACTAAAATGCAAAAGCTAAAAATTTATGACAAAAAATATACTTTTGAGATTATTGTTATAATAGACTTAGACTTAGCTCTGCAGCATATGCCGTAATGAAGATACGTAGGTTAACTGACATAGATACTGCCAGATTAGTATACTTCAGTTACTTTCATAGTGTTATGTCGTACGGTATCCTATTGTGACATACAAACAATTTTAGTGCTTCAGAAAAGAGCAATTCGATCAATTTATAATCTTAGGATTAGGGACTCTTTAAGGGAGAAATTTAAGGAAATAGACATTATGACTGTTGCTTCTCAATACATATACGAGAACTTAATGTAGGTTCGTAAAAATATTAGTTTGTTTTCTATAAAAAGTGATGTACACAATTTTAATACAAGAAATAAAAATAAATTAACGGTGCCTGTCACTAGACTGCAAAAAGTTAAGAACTCTTTCAAGGGTCTTTGTGTGCGCTTCTACAATAAGGTCCCAAGCAAAATACAACAATTAGATATCATGCAGTTCAAATCTACTATTAAAAAAATACTTATTAAAAAAGCTTATTATAAGGTATCCGATTATATAACAGATATAAGAACGCTTGGACTTGAGATGATCCAGCAACTGGATAGGTGATTACTTCTAAACTCATTATCTTGTTTCCATTATTATTAAATGATTATGTTATTATTGTAAGACCATAGTTTTTTTTATCTCTGTTTATAATGTATTGATCTGGTAATGACATGGTTTTTGTAAATGTCATTACTCATATTAGAGCTGGTGAGTTTCTTGCTCGTTCTTCTTATCAGCCAAAAGACGTCCTGAACGAGTGGTAGGGAAAAAATGTTGGACGATTCAAAAGTACTTTTAAGAAGTCTATTTGAATAAAGATTATTTTGACTTTTGACTTTTGACTTTAATAAGTAATTTAATAAATATGCCTATTAAATATAAAAGAAAATTTACAATTATTGTAATGTGCACATTCCCGCTATAAATTTTGACCTCTACCCACAATTTAATAAGGATTAAAATCGAGTGGGAAAATTTTACAGTTTTACATAACATGACGTGATATGATTGTTCTACTTGATTTGTTGAAGTATTTCTTTCATTTTCTTTACAATATTTACGTCGGTTATATACAGATGCTCGCTATCTCCAGTGCCCATATTCAAATGGTTATTCATTTTAGGTAAAATCCTCGTACCTTTACATGAACTGTGGACTATTTTACATCCCAAATCGATAAACAATCTAGCGTTTCCACAATTGACGCCGGCGCCAGGCATAATGTCGATTTGATCACCAAAAGAGTTCTGCAAATTCCGAATTAATACGATAGCTTCGTCATTATCAGCAAAATCCCTTTGTCCGCTCGTAAGTATTCTATCGAAACCGAGCTGAATCACTTTATTTATGGAAACAATTGGATCCCTGCTAACATCGAACGCTCTGTGGAAAGTTACTGGTATTTTATTGGCTTTTGTAATTATATCAGCACATTTAACTTCATCTATATTCTGGATGTTCGTGAGAGCGCCGAACACAAACCTATCGACGTTCATTTGTTTCAAAATAACTACGTCAGCTAACATGGTGTCCATTTCCTGATCCGTGTAACAGAAATCTGAGCCAGTACGGCATCGGATCATCACATTCAATTTTGGTTGCTGCAAAATAAGCATTTGGTTATATATTGCACTATAGAAGTAATTGACTGATTTTAATTATACCGAAGCTCTATCATTCTGAACTTAATTACATCATCCCATAACTTCATAATTTGTGTCAGATAAATAACAGCATGATTTTATAATGTGGTCGATGATGACGTGCCGGTTTTATACGAACCTTCAATAGCCCCTGGCAAGCACAATGTGTCGGACAGCCTTTATAAATAGTCGAGCCTGTGCCGATTTTATTTACCTGAAATTTTTTTATACATATTAGTTTATAAATCTGCAAAAAAATATTTCTTAAAGTAAATGGAAATTTAGATGAATATGTAATATTTAATTGCAATTTGTTAATCTTTGTGTTGTAAAACGGCACGTGGGTCATTTGACTATTGCAATCAAAGACATTAATGACTTTTATTGTCTGTTATATTAGACAACTTGAAATAAATTTAACAGCAACACCAATTTAATAACATTTTGAAACTAATTTTGATGCATGTGATTATGTTATTGCAACTACCATTACGAAAACTAAATAACTATTAAAAAAAAACAGGCTTCAAAAAATCCTATTAAAAGGAAACAACTGAAAAGAGAGAAATAATACGACAAAATTATTGTCTCAAATAAAATCTAAACGCAAAAATTGGATAAAGCAACAATTTCTTTTATTGAAGTAGGTTCCAGAAAGCAAAAGAAACCGGCCAAATGCAAGTCAGACTTCATGAACGAACGCACAAGGGGTTTCGAACCATGATCCATTAAAAAGGTAAAAAAAAACACATTTGTTATTTTCTATGGAGTTGTTCAACATTTTCGAGTTAATTAATTAGTCAATTATTACTCGTAAATATGTCAAGCCAACTTAAGTGTGATAGTTTTCCTTTTAACTAGATTATATATACGAGGGTCAAACTGAAAGTTCTTAGAAAATCAAAAACTGATTACATTAGCCAGTTATTAGTTTTATTATATCTTTTCAAAATATTGTCCATTCACGTCAATACACCGCTGCATGCGATGGAACCACTGGGAAAAGCACTTTGCCCACTCGTCCTTAGGGGTCTCTTCAATGGCATCGCGATACGCAGCCACCGCTTCTTCAGCATTCATAAACCGCTTTCCTTTAAGTTTTTCTTTAATTTTTGGAAATAAATAAAAATCACAAGGCGCGAGGTCGGGGCTATACGGCGGGTGACCCAGTAATTCAACGTTTGATGTCGCCAAATAGTCGATCGTTCGCTTGGCGGTGTGCGACGAGGCGTTGTCGTGGTGAAGGAGGATCCTACTGCGAGGTCGTTTCTCTCGAACTTTTTCCAAGACAAGTGGCAAACAATTGGTAGTGTACCATTCTGCAGAAACTGTTTTTTGATCCTCTAACACAATTGTTGCAAAATGACCTATCCTTCCAAAGAACGAGGCCACCATTTTTTTTCCCGCACTTCGATCTCTCTTCACTTTAGTTGGCAACTCCTCGAAAGGAAACACCCACTGAGCAGATTGTCTTTTGGTTTTAGGATCATAACAGTAAATCCAGCTTTCGTCACCTGTTAGTATGTCGAACACAGCATTTGAGTCACCTCCGTTAAATCTTTCAATCATTTTACGACACCAATCCACACGATGGAGTTTTTGAGCCTCAGTCAAATTATGAGGTATCCACCGGGCGCAAAGCTTCCTGACCGCTAAATGTTCGTGGAGGATTTTGTGCACTTGACTCATACCGATGCCTAAGCTTGTCCGAATCTGTTGATAGGTCACTCTTTTGTCAGTCTCTATCATACGCCGCACAACACAGATGTTATCTTCAGTCGTCGCCGTAGAAGGCCGTCCCTCACGTAAATCATCAGTGAGATTAGTGCGACCACGTTTAAACTCATTAAACCAGTTGTAAACAGTCGCACGAGATGGGGCTTCATCGTGAAAGGCCAATCGTAGTCTATCATAACTTTCTTGTTGACTTAAATGACATCGAAAGTCATAAAAAATCATTGCACGAAAATTTTCTCGTGTTAAATTCATGATTACGTGACACAGACAATTTTCAATTTGCCGCCAAATCGTAAAACAAATGACAAATGAATGAAATATATACTCAGTAATATTGGCAAAGAGTTATATTTTCAAATTTTAGAATTATTTTTTTATTATATTGTTTATAAGTGGCCAGTTCTAAGAACTTTCAGTTTGACCCTCGTATGCACGACTGCTGCCACGTTTGAATTTTTACCATAATCCTTCAGCTGGTAGAAGGGCGAATACTTGACTCTAACGAAAATTAGCTATTTAAAGCTTAATAAGTCACAAACGGTACTAAATCGAAAGACGGCATTCCCACACCCCCAATGTTTTTGAAGGACCAATCCAACGATGTCACATACTATGGGGAAGACGAAAAAATATCATTACAACTTTACGTGTAGGGGAAGTACTAAAAAGATTTGTTTTTTGAAATTGTACTTTATCACTATGCCGGTTAACGTGTATACTAATGCCAAATTACAACTTTCTAGTACCAATAGTTTTTGAGCTAATCCGGGCAAACAGATTACGGAACCCTAAAAAATAATCATTATTGTCCGATGTCTGGTTTGCGCGAAATAAGTACGCGGAACATCCCGTGTTTCAGGCAAAATATATACATTTCAACTTCACAAATGGTGTTGAAGTGGACGATTGATGTACGTACCCTTTATTCAATAAAAAGCGAATTAATTCTCATATTTAACTATGATTATAACTATTTTTTAAATATGTCAAATCCAACAAAAATATGTTAAAACTTGGGCGGTCCTTTAAAAAAACATAAAAAACAACTTGGTAAATAATTTGGCTTTTTATTTATCTAGGAAAACTAAACATGTGTCCCTTAATAGGCTGATAACATCTAGCATCCTACTACAGGCACACACGCATATCCTTATAAAATTTAGCACACGAATTCAAAGCCCATGCAAACTGACCTACATAGAGGTCAAAATGATAACCTCCTTTTTGGAGTCTGTTCCGAAAAATATTTTTTCTCCATACATACCAAATACGTATTCATGGAACTCAATCAAATTCCAAATAAAAAAAGAGTAAACGCAAAAAGAAATAGTGGAAAATACAAAAAATAGTTATTATTTAGGTTTAAAAATTATTACCTAGTAATAATTGATGGTACCTACTACTGGTTTTCGGTGTGAAATTAGGATTGTCAACTCTCCCGAAATCCTGGGATAATGTACAAACTTAATGACTCTATTTAAAATTAATATTTTGACAATGGAAAAGAAATTAACTGGTGTGGTTTAAGCAGCTGGATGATGCTCAGAATGTACAAATAAACGAGGACAAATTATGCCGTCTCAAGTATTTAGTGTTGTAAATGAACTGTAGTCAGAAAATCGCAATCGGCCGAATGAAACACATGTTCTGAAGTACTTAAGAATGAACTAATTTCTATTACACATGTAAAGATCTCTAGGATTTTGTTTTTAATCAAAAGTTTGCATTATACAAAATGCAGGTGTGAAAATATACAACTTTAAATAAATTCGTTTTTGAATTTCATTCCTTTTTTTCTCCCAGTTTCTGACCAACCGAGTTGGCAACAATATGTGAAATGTTTTAGCACTTGTATTAATGAAATCTGAAACATCGAAGGTATCACACCCAGACACAAGACAATATAGATAATTTAATTTCCTACATTACACCGACTGAAAATCGAACCCAATATCTCAGAGATACCAGAGGACATTTGAATGAAATCAACATACGAGACACTTGACCACGACACTTCCGTTTTCATACACGATTTTATATCTCACTCGCATCGCCTCCACCTACCCACCCTACCTACCATGGTCACTAAAGATAAAATAGTAGGTAGTTTTACTATTTACGATAAATCTTTACATTAAGCAAACACCAGCAAAAAAAGTAAGTAAACCAAAATTTACTTTCCAAAGTTCTTGGTAACTTTAAAAACTGAGTTTATCTTAGTTTTTTATCCAAAATAATAGAGATTATTCACTCAAGATTCTGACAATCATAGATTTAGATTACAAACCACAGACGAAATTTCTTTGACCAATCCTGCAGATGGTGTTAACCCGCCTTCAGTTAAAGAACTGCATATTTCCAATTCATCAGCACCTCCATGTATAGCGTTCAATGCTGATTCCAAACTATCTACACATACCTCCAACATTATGTGTAATTAAATCTACAGTACCCAAAATAAAAATAAAATTCATTAACATTAGAGAGCATCGGTAACTTTTTTAACACAATGTAGTATAAAGTTTTATTTTAACCACAGATACACATAAATTACTTAAGCTAAAAATATAAATCATTATAAAGTGGTCGAATAACAAAATAACAAAAGCTGCAGTAACGTGTTTACAAAATATTGATACACAAAGTATTATCTTAACCTAAAAGTTAGGATTTATTAGTTTTTAGGAAAATTACATTTAATATTTAAAAAATTAATTAGTTACATATACTTACTTACCACTCTTTCAAGAATGAATTATGTTGCACCCAAATTGCACTTGTAAATATTAATTTATGATTTAAATATTACTATTTCAATGTAATATCGATTACAAATCGCGTTATATTTCCATCTTGCAACTCTCACTGTCGATATGACGTTGACAGTAAACATGACATGCATGACCTTTTTTTCGTTTAGTAATAACATAATCCTAAGAAATAAACCAAACAATAATACAAAAAAACACTTAGCAAAATACACAATAAGATTCCAGAAAATATTGTAGCAAGTAATTGTTATTGAAAAAGTATTTAATTAGTTATAGGTAACGAAAGTTAAATTATATTTTGCTTTATGGAAAGAAAAAAATCATTTAATGTGTGATTTTCCACTAAGATTTCATAAATGAGATCTTGCTTCATTAGGTTGGAATAAAATTTTGATATCTCAAACTTATTAATTTACTTTTAAACGCATCCAACTTGGCAAATTGAAATTAATGTTGCTACGTTCACGTTGGTTCCTTTTGACATTTCGCGATAAAAGGACACGCGAACGTAGGCAAAGTATCGCCAGCGTTCGTTTTCTTTTATCAGGTATTTTATTATTTTCCATCATGATATTGTTACATTTATAAAGCATAATACTATAAGAGAAAAAAATCCATACATTACTGACACATTGTGAAGTGGTAACTTATTGATTGTTGAGGTTAGGTCTGTGCCACATAAGTGGTAAAATTAGGAATTATTTGAATGTATAAACTGTTTTATGTAACTGATTTGACAAATTTTCATCGTCAGCTATGTCACGACATAAGCAGCACGAGGAAACTGATAAGCTCACTCGTATTGCTATTGTGAATGCCGATCGCTGTAAGCCCAAAAGATGCAGACAAGAATGCAAGAAAAGCTGCCCCGTCGTAAGAATGGGAAAGCTTTGCATCGAAGTAACCCCTAATGATAAGATAGCCACCATATCAGAAGAGCTATGCATTGGTTGTGGTATTTGTGTTAAGGTAAGCTTAATTGATGCCTGATAATTCACTATAGTCTTTTGTAATGTCTATTAACATAAATTTAAGCCTCATAATAGTGCAAAATAAAGATTTTAGTAAAAACTGCATTTTATTAATAATAACAATAAGAATTAAATGAAGTACACAATAATTGTTTAAATTTTCAAATAAGAAATAAAATGAAGACCATGTAGATGCTATTATTAAATTTGTTATAGAAGCATAAAAAATGTAACTTTGTAAGGAAGAAAATATTGTTTATTTGTTGTGTAAAAAATTTAAATGTTATTGATAATAGGGTATTTAAATTGTGATCATCCCATAAAATAATAGTATGATAGCATATATTTCATTTTATTTTAAATGAAATAATGTATATTTTTTTGCAGATTACACAAACTAAAATTAAATACATGTTAGTAATGGTGGTGTATGACAGACAGAGTTTTCGTGTGGTTTTGAAAATTTTAACTTTAACTTTATTGTTTGTGCTTATTGTGTAATAAAGAATAATTTAAAACTATTTTTCAATATTAGTCAAATACCTTATTATCAACTGAATTTAAATAATAATAGATTTTTCCATAGGTGAAAGAATTTTCATCCTATAATATTTATTGGATCACTATCTAGAAGTAGTGACAACCCTTCAAACAAACATATAAACAAGCAAAATGAGAAACTTTCTCTTTATAATATCATTATAGTTAGTTAATACAATACATACGTGTCTATAAGTTCTATAGTTATAATTGTATACTAACTATTCTATTATACCATTATCAGTAGCACTATGGAGAATTACTATTCAGAACGTTCTGCTGACAATGAAATAGTAGTCGATAATGATCACTCAAATCACTTATTTTAACACAATAATAATTGCATAGCTTATTCAAAATATTAGTTTGTTGTCAATGTAAACTATGTGGTCTTAGGTATGATAACAAGTGAACCTATAAATTTAAATAACTGTATGTGTGTCCCTATTGACAAATACTGTTACAACAAATAGTGTCTTTCACAACTTATTTAACATGTTACATTTTGTATAATTGTGACTCATCATTGTTTTATGTGTACTAATTCTCTTTCCACAGAAATGTCCCTTTGATGCAATCACCATTATCAATATCCCATCGAATTTGGAGAAACATACCACTCATCGCTACTCCAAGAACTCATTCAAGTTGCATAGACTACCTATACCAAGACCCGGAGAAGTACTTGGGTTAGTTGGGCAGAATGGTATCGGCAAATCTACTGCCTTGAAGATTCTTGCTGGAAAACAAAAGCCCAATTTAGGTCGTTATGCTGTAAGATGTAATTTTTTCATTTGTTTTATGTACAGTTTATAATTTTTTTTTACATATTATTTCCCTTGTTTAAGTTATAGCACTATTTAATTCAACAGTATGTACTTAATTTTGAACACAAATGAATTTCTTTTGTTAATATAGTGTTTAATATGTTTAGGATCCTCCAGACTGGCAAGAGATTTTGTCACACTTCCGTGGTTCGGAATTGCAGAATTATTTCACAAAGATATTAGAAGATGATCTAAAAGCACTCATAAAACCACAATATGTGGATCAAATCCCTAAGGCTGTGAAAGGAACTGTAGGACAATTGCTAGACAAGAAGGATGAGAGAAAGAACCAAGCTGAAATTTGTGAAATGCTTGGTAAGAAAGATTAAATATATTTAGCATTTTTAACTGTCAATAAATTTGCCATTAGTATATTTATAAAACGATAAGCCTGCTGTGTCTATCTGTCTGAATCTACTCTAAAAGTAACTGAAAACATTTCAAATTATGTAGAAAAAACTATGCAGTAATAAAGATTGTTGAAGTTGCTAACCATAACAAAAGTAAATTATAACATATAATACTTATCTAATATCTACATATAACATCACACATCAATAAGAATTTTGATTTTTTCCATTTGTAAATTTATTTCTCAGATCTATCCCACATCAAAGACCGTGAAATTGCTGCTCTGTCTGGTGGAGAACTCCAACGTTTTGCATGTGCTATGGTGTGCATCCAAGATGGGGACATATTTATGTTTGATGAGCCCTCATCATACCTTGATGTGAAACAGCGTCTAAATGCTGCCAGAACCATTCGATCTTTGATACACCCTGACAAGTATGATTTAAATCACATATATATTTTTTTAACTATGGGACATTCAAATCCTATCACTCGCAGTGTTAATTTAGTATAACACTAATAACATAGTATATTTCAGATTCATCATTGTCGTTGAACACGACTTGTCAGTACTTGACTACTTATCTGATTTTATCTGCTGCCTCTATGGTGTACCTGGTGCTTATGGTGTTGTGACTATGCCTTTCTCCGTTCGAGAAGGTAACAAACATTTTATAAAGCTTCCCTATTCATTGTATTGGATACTAGTGGCCGCCAGCGACTTCGTCCGCGATTTCCATTATTTCTTCGCTCCTAATAGTTGCAGCGTGATGTTATATAGCCTAAAGCCTTCCTCGATAAATAGTCTATTCAACACAAAAAGAATTTTTCAATTCGAACCAGTAATTCCTGAGATTAGCGCGTTCAAACAAACAAACTCTTCAGCTTTATAATATTAGTATAGATTAAATATGTAATATTTGTACTGTAATACAACTGTTTTGAATAGCCGTCTTTTCTACCAACAGTTATTTTAACTGTGGAAAAGAATAAACAAAAAAATATTACATTGATATTTCAAAACAATAGAATTTTTGTATCATCAAAAACAGCTGTTTGAAACAACTAAAAATTGTTTGTTATTCAATAAGATATGGTATAATTTGCAATGTTTTCATTGCTCAGGTATCAACATATTCCTCGATGGTTTTGTACCCACTGAAAATATGAGATTCCGAACAGAATCATTGGTATTCAAAGTAGCTGAATCGGCCACCGAAGAGGAGGTAAGTGAACATTTATTAAATGGAGATTTCAAAATCTTACATTAACTCCGAACCTATTATAAATTAAATACATACACACATATATGTATATACATTCATATTTTGAGCAACTAAGACTTTAGAAATCGGTATGAAATTGACGAAGATGTCGATACCGACACCTGAAATTAAAGGGATTAAAAAAATTTTTTGTTCCAAATTTGGATCCAGAATTGACATATCTTGGAACGACGTGCGGCTTTGACCTCAGACATCGCTAATGTAGTAGAATGTAAAACCTATTGTCTGGTGCTCATGTCAAATGATTTTGTCTGTTAGTTAATTTGTCTTGAAATTTTGCTTTTACACACTTTTATAGACACAGGCAACTTGAAAGAGAATTGAATACATTAATTATTGGATATTTCAGTGTTTTATTACAGTCTTGCTTAACAACATAAAAATATGATGATGCAACATGAATTATATATTTCACATTTATTATATTTATTAATGTTTAACAGATAAAACGTATGAATCACTATGAGTACCCAGAGATGTCTAAAAAAATGGGTGACTTCAGTCTTTTTGTGAGGCCTGGTGAATTCTCAGATTCTGAGATTTTGGTTCTCCTTGGTGAAAATGGAACTGGAAAAACTACATTTATTAGAATGCTGGCTGGCAATTTGGAACCAGATGAAGGTATGTTCTTCGTAAAATTCTCTATTTCTTATTGTGTTGTATTCGACACGACATAATTTTCTATTTATCCGAATTCAGATTTATTTCAATTCTCATTAACACTAGAAGTGCCGTCGTGTCAATTTTGTCCCATTTTATTTATAATATTGATTATCGGTATAAAACCTGAAAGTTGTTATTAAAGCAATTCGTGACATATTCAGAACACATTTAATAAACAAATTCTTATTGATTAACAAACATAAAAGTAATAAATCAATAACTTTTTGAATGTCGCAGTCCACGGGCCGCGTCTGGCTTGAAAACGTCGAACTGGACTGCGCCTTCGATCTTATGCTTTACGAACAAAGTTGCTTTTGTTTCTGAAATAAAAAAGAAGGAAATAGATATTAAGTATATTATTATATAACTATAATGAACATATAACTACAAATATCGCGCAGCATAATGTCACGGAGATAAATAATAAAGATAGTTACCTTGTTGTATTTCTATCTGAGTATCCTCAGATTTATCTCATGACGAGTATTACAGATTCCAAATTGGAGTATTCCATAGATTCGCCATCAGGGTCATCTTCCAAAATATAATTGAAAAAAAATAAGATGCCTACATCCACAAGAAGCGCGTTTAACAAATCAATAACGTTCGGTCTTTACGCACAACTATTGCCAACGTAATGTTCTGTTTGGCCAACTGACAGCTAAACAAAAATGAAAATGAAAATGTTTTGTTCAAGTGAGCTTGTTACAAGCACTTTTGAATCGTCCAAAAAAAAATTTTCCCCTACCACTTGTTCAGGACGTCTTTTAGCTGACTAGAAGAACAAGCGAAAGAAACTTACCAGGGGCTCTATTTTTGAATCATTCGTCTCGCGTCGAGCGCTCGTTTTCTACTGATTTTCGTTCGACTTAACAAATTCGCCATTTCTAAATCGCTCGACTGCAACGAATGGTATGAACCACTCGTCGCTTAGCGAACGTTGTATGCGAGTGATAGTAGAAAACGAACGCTCGACGCGAGACGAATGATTCAAAAATAGAGCCCCAGCTTTTTATCAAAAGTAATGACATTTACATAAATCATGTCATTACCAAAATAATACATATATTAAACAATAATAAATACAAGTTTCAAAGTCTGTAGGACATAGGTTGGTACATACCTATAATTAATCGTTATAGAACAGAGCGAAGGCTATTAATTCCATGCATTGCGGTCCTTAAAATATTCATCAACTTTATAATAGCCTTTACTCATATGTATATTCTTTACATGAATTTAAAAATTTATTTATGGGTAGGTCAATGAACAAAAACTAACATTTCAATTAACAAATAAAAAAACACAACATTCAATTGTTTATTCGCTTATGATAAGGATGGGGCAAAAATGATCCAGCCGTATTTTGCAAAAGTATTACTCATATAAAATTGAAAATATTCTAAATGTTATAAATGTAAAAAGTCAAAAAGTTTCATCGACATAATTAACAAATAAAAAAAAGTTACATAATCATCCTTGCGTATGGGGCAAAGAAGGCACGGTGGCGCTTCTAGTGTTAAGATATCTTGTATACTATCGATTCTTATAGGTTATGTGTAGATCGATTCTTATCGATAGACACAAACCCACAAATTTTTCATCATTAGATTTTAGATTAGATTTAGGACTTCAAAAGCTCGCGTCCTTTATTAACCTCACCAGCTCTAATACGAGTAAACGTCATTACTCTTATTAGAGCTGGTGAGTTTCTTGCTCATTCTTCTTATATGCCAAAAAACGTCCTGAACGAGTGGTAGGGAAAAAAATGTTGGACGATTCAAAAGTACTTTTAAGAAGTCTATTTGAATAAAGATTATTTTGACTTAGACTTTGGACTTTAACGTATTTAATAGTAGCAGAGATTAATGTTGATTAAAAAAGAGTGTCTTCAAAAAAATACAAGTAATTATATTTAATACTTATGTAATGAAACTTTATTTGGATAACAGACGGTTTGTCTCAGAAAGAGTAGTATCGATGTTCATGATTCGATTCAATTCGATTAGATACAATTTTTCACATGGCAACTTTCTGCCAAACGTCAAATTCGTGAAAGGTGTCAGTCGGTCAAATGGTTTCGATTTTTTTCGAGGAATTTTATTGTCGCGATATTCTCTAAAAACTATTGACTTATTTATGGCAAATATCTCGAAAAAGAAACCTTATATAATGTTGTGTAGTGTTAGTTTAGAAAGTTAAAAAGGATATGTTGTTTTATTGTTTAATGAGGTTATAGAATTGTTGCAGTAAGCAATATCTTAATGATTTCGATGTTTATCCTATGTTATTGTGATGGCGAAGACTGATTTGTTCGATTTATTTTTCCATCCTGTGTTTCAAAAGTGTTTACGACATGCAGAATCGTTTTTATCACCAGAAGGTACACCTATGATGACATGTGTACACTTTAAGCCTGAATAATCTTTAACTTTCAACACACACGTTATTTTTCCTACAACTTTGTTGGAAATAATTAAATAAATTTTACAGAAGGATCCTTACGAAGATCTTGACAGAATTTTTGTTTCTTGTTGTATATTTTTGGTTTATCTATATTATTTAGTTACATATTTATTAAAAATTGAATATTTAGTTTAGTTAATATGCAAATTAAAGTATCTATCTAATTAAATATTTATATCTGCAGGTTCTGGCCAATTGCCGCAGCTTCACATTAGTTATAAGCCACAGAAAATTTCACCCAAGTCCCAAGGACTTGTGCGCAATTTGTTGCATGATAAAATAAGAGATGCATATATTCATCCACAGGTGAGTTTTTGATGATTTTGTTTTTGTTAAATATATAAGATTTTATGTTAAATGATTATTTCTTTCTGAAATGATAAAAAAAAATGACACTTATTAGTCCACCTTTTATTGAAAGACCTTTGTATTTCAATTTTGGTTAGTTTACGGGAAAAGTCTATTTTCAAAAATAATTATATTTCATTGTTATATACCTCTCTAATCTTTCTTAGTTTAGTTGATTTAATGGGACTTATAATTACAATTAAAGTAAATATGATTCATTTAATCATAATTATGTGAAACTGGCTTACCAGCGGTTTCTCCCATATGGTCCTGGGAACTATTTAGTGGAAAGCTTGGAATAATCTATATCCCCAATTTCACCCAAAACTGTTCTGTAGTTGTTGTATGTGAGAGCAACAAACATATCCCCACAAACATTAGCATTCATAGTAGGATGGATAGAAACTGGATCAGAATTGTTAGAAGTTGTATTAAACCTAAATCTCTCAACAGTTTATAACAGATGTAATGAAACCCATGAAAATAGAGGAAATAATGGACCAAGAAGTGCAGAACTTGTCTGGTGGTGAATTGCAACGAGTCGCATTGGTGCTCTGTCTCGGAAAGCCTGCTGATGTATACCTTATTGATGAGCCTTCTGCATACCTGGACTCTGAACAGCGTCTCGTTGCTGCTAAAGTTATTAAAAGGTATTATTTGTTCATCTGCATGACAGTGTACTACTTTTTATGTTATATTTAATTAAGGTTAAGGGCTCTTGTTTGCTAATAAAAAATGACAATTAAAAATACTTTTAAGTCTTTCAAGATACTGAGAGGTTTCAAGTGAACTACCTCTATTTCAATTTATTTCATTTTATTTATTATATTATGAATTAGATATGTTTAGGTAATACTTTATTGGTACTCATTATACTTTATCAATATTCATTTTGTTTGTTGTTATTATGTTGGACTGTTCATTCGGGATAAAGCTCAGTTCAAATGTTAAGTTTCCAGTGAATTGGACATAACTGTTAATTAAATAAAAATTATCCCCTCAAGTAATATACATATTCCACATACTTATTATCTGTATGATATTCAGTTTCTAGATTTATTCTGAGCCACAAGTTTCTCAATCTCAATAAGAACAATTAAAACAATATTTATTACTTTAGTTATTTTTTTTTCCACTATTTTCTATTTATTACTATATATTTTTATCTTTATAGTAGTATTAATTCAATAGTTTGCCTTTATTAATTCATGATCATCACAAACAATGGTTGCTATATTGTCAGTACATTTACACTTTAATTCTTGAGGTCTAACAGCTACCTGCTTTTATAAAATTATAAAATGAGGACTAAAGTTAGTTCTTGATTTAAACCATTGACCGCCTGAAGCAAATTGACATTGACAGAAAAGGAAATGTTAAATTGAAATGTCTTGACTTATTTTGTTCGGATAATAGTTTAAAAGAACTAAATTAGCCTTTGTTTTATATGAGTTAAAAATTTAAGTCTAAACAAACTGCTCAAAGTTTTTACTTTAAGAAATATGACCTTCAATCAGGTTTATCCTGCACGCAAAGCGGACAGGGTTCGTAGTAGAGCACGATTTCATAATGGCGACGTATTTGGCGGATCGCGTGATCGTGTTTGAGGGCACGCCGTCCGCCAACGCGACCGCGCACGCTCCGCAGTCGCTCCTCAATGGGATGAACCGGTTCCTGGAACTGCTCGGCATCACTTTCCGGAGAGATCCGAATAATTTCCGCCCTAGGATTAATAAGCACTCCTCAGTTAAGGTTAGTATTTGTATACCATATAGAAGCTTTATATTATAAAAATATTATAATATTTGATTAATTTCACATTCACAATGCTATGCTGAAAATTATTCTTAATACAAAATGCTTAAAAAATCCACTTGGTCCCTCGCTCTGTAGTAGCGAAAAGTAACAAGTGTCTGAAAGATTCGTCAGTCCTGTTAGGTCCTGGGTAGCTCAGCGGTTAGAACAGTCGCCCGGATTGCGAAAGGTCGTGGGTTCGATTCCCATCTCAGGGTGCCAGGGACCAAGTAGATTTTTTAAGCATTTTGTATTAAGAATAAATATAAATAGCTGAATATTATTCCTACACCAGCACATAGCACAGAACACATACGAAATTATTAATCAACATTTACTAGACCTAATTCCTACCTCTTTTGATAGGCAAGTTTAGGTAGAAAGTACAGTAGTAATGCAAGCTATTTTATTAAATCTTATTGTCAATTTTATTAACACTTCTCTGTTTTTTCCAGGACATTGAGCAGAAACGGGCAGGCCAATATTTCTTCCTCGAAGACTAGAAGCAAAAATGCAACAATAAATATATATATGTATATGGAGTGAATATATCTGTCACAATGATGGCCTGGCATCTTATGTATTTCCAATTAATGTATTACTGTAATAAATCATGTTTTATACAAAATTACACATTTTGATTTCACATTGAATTTTTATAATAGTATTTGTAAAACAAGCAAATAACGCTTTTCAAGGTTTCATTCCCAATGGGGAAAACGGGACTAAACTAAACTTTTACCTAACTAAATTGCAGGGAAAATGCCTGTTATGTGGCACTCCCCACTGAGGGTCCATCCAGTGGGTATTCACTCAACGGATCCACTAAAAACCCTAATGTACTCTCACATGTAGGGGTGAGACCCGGGAAGCCGTAGTCGAGTCACCGGGACGGGAGGAAGGGCCCATATTACTAAGACTCCGCTGTCCGTCTCGTCTATATGTCAATCACATAGATCGTAATAATTATATGGTTAAAATTTTCACAGAATACCAGGTTTAAACCATTATCCAACTAAAATATGTCGATTCGTCTCAATTTGGCGTTTTTTCATGTCATTGTAAATTTGCTGTAGGCGGCAAACAATTAAAACATTGCTTAAAACAAGTATTAACTAATGTCATGGAAAAACTAAAACATCGGCATCCACCATTGCTATAAAAGTTAGAACAGGAGTAAAATATATCAATGTTAAATTCAATGGTCAATCCGCAAATCCTGACGGCCATGAACAATTAATAGTAAACCGAATTACGAAATAACTGCTAATATGTTGGCGCATGTGCTATTTGAATAAATAAATATTAGACTCATACATTGCTCAGATTCCAAAATAAGAAGCTAAAGCCCACGTATTATGAAGTATCTGAGACAACGAAATTGCCAGAACACCCAGACCCGAAGTCCAGAGAATAAAAAGAAGTTAATTTTCTATGTTGACTCAACAGGCAATCGAACCCGTGGTCTCTATGACTATTGATGGCAACACTGAAACCGCGGCGTGTTAACTCTGTTACGAAGGCCGTCATTATATTTTTTTTAAAATTTCTTCGTATAAATAAAATTGAATTTTGTCTGACCAGTAATTTTGTCGGGTGTGAAGATTGATTTTTGAAATGCATTCTTGATCCATTTCTAGTCCCTAGTGGCACTGCTGGACTAATATCTGTTCAGCAGCGCCCAAGAGGTGCTGTCCCCTAAAGATTTTAAAAAAGTTGGCTAAAGTAAAGCAATCAAACTCTTTTACTACACTTGATCATTCTCGTACGTCGAAACTCGTATGAACTCTCTATTCCATTCCTAATATTCCGTTCCCTCGACTTCAATAAGGGGAGTGCTTTACCAGGCGTTTTAACAGGAAGGCGGGGTGTAAACGCAATATAAAGTTTCTGCCTCGGTTGAAAAAAGTTGTATGTCTGAGCCTAATGCCGCCCCGGGCCCCCGACAAGCTGGATCAAGAATTAATTTCAAATTCGAAGAGTGTGGAGCTGCCCACCTAACACACATGACAAAATTAAAGGCGCCAAATGGTCATACCAAGACAAGAAGGTTTATTTTTACATGGACTTAAATTTTTTCTGTAGCAAGAAATAACGACGTCAGTAGCAGAGTTCGCACGTTGTTTGATTTTAATTTAGAACAAAATCCGTTTTGCGATAATTTTATCAACCTCTATAATTATTCAACTGATAAATAAGCGAACTAATTATAACAGCCCGTGCTATGCTTATTTACCAGGAAATGTATGTTACCGAAGGAGAAAAATAGATTTTATCGGAAAATAAAATCATGTCATATTTACACAATTATGAATCATACTGATAGTGAATAATTCGATGACATCAAGTCAATTACGTCATACGATGCGACGTCACAAACACTAGATCTGTGATTCAAATATTTTGTAGCGGCTCCGTAGAGGAGATTGTTAAGTATGCTGTCCAAAAAATAAGACTACTCATACAATATTACGGTTTTACTCAAAGCATATCCATAATTACATAATATATCCCAGTTTACGACAAAATAAACCTAGTCAAATATAGTAAGACATTTGAAAAAAACGTATGGTTATATGCAATTCGAACCCGTAACCGAAACCTTTGACTAACTGGGCGACGGGTCTTATCAAATGTACTTAACTCTTACATTTGATTAATTTTGCTCTCACAATGCTACATCATGTACACTAAGATTAATGAAGGAATACTCATTAGTACCGAAAAGTAATAAGTTCTTAAAGAATTTGTCAGTCCGTCCCCCTATAGAAACTCCGGCCTTCGTTACGGATGGGCCATGACCCTTCAAGCTTCCGGTTCTGGGGAACCTCCAAAGGCTGCAAAGTCCCTTGATTACATTATAAATTCGGATTGGAGGCCCCGTAAACAAATAAGTACAGACTGTAGCGGAGTGTGCGGGGGGCACTGAATATGGACTTAGCTATATAGAAATTGTGTTGGTAATTTATCATTTATATACCCATATATTTTTAATAGTGTCAAAAAGGTAACATAATGCACAGAATTTTATCCGAGAAATAACAATTAGACGCCACACAGTTTATACTAATAACATGGGTCATGTCATAACTCTCCAGTTGACTGGTATAAATTGCCTACTGGCATTAAGTCCGTCATTTGTACGCTTTATTGGTGCAAAGAAGCTTAAATAAATAAATAAACAGGGCATTGCACCATGACTGCACCACAAACACTAGATAATGGGATTAGGAGGACTTTCGTGGCACCAGTATTTAATAAATAGGTAGGTATGTAATAAGCATTTATAGCTTCTTAATTTCTATATATTCTTGATTCTTCAGTATATTAAGTCTATTATTATATATTTATATTATTAAATAATAATGGGACTGCAATACACAAAACTATTTTTGGACATTTAGTTAATAAAACCTAAAATGAATATTGCACATTCATGAAACAGTACGATAAAGGTTCTCAATAGGCAGCAGTAAATAGATATAGTATAGTATACAATAACGAACGGAAGTTTCACAATATAACAGCTTTTATTGGGAAGGAATAAGGTGCACAATGACGTTAATCTGGAACTTGGATCGTCTTGTTTGTTTGCAGCCAGTTTCGGTCGAATGCTGGCTACACTACAGCAAGACGCGAGTGGTCTGCGGGTGGAGGCGACTGGCATCGCGATGACATCATCGCACCACACCAACAAGATTACGTGGCGCAGATGTTCACAACATTTTTCATATTTTTAATCAAGCGTTTTTTAAAACTAAATAATGAATGAGCTTCATCAACTAATGGTAAGGATAAAATAAAGATAGGACCCGCGTGGTGAGTCCCTCTATTCGATTAGATTCGATTCAACCCATAACGAAGGCCTGAGCCTCAACAGTGGACCCATTAATAGCTGCTGATGCAAGCTATTTTTTAAATACGTGGGTAAGTTAAACATAAAATACAAATTCAGCTTTTCTTTTCTCTATTCTCGGTAAAAATACAATAATAATTATTATACAGGTTGGAAAGAAGGGATCAGCCTGTTCTTACTTTTCCTATATAGAGAAGGGAAGGGAGTGAAAATCTAAGGGGTGGCTGTCCCGGCGAATACACCCGGGTTCATCCACCCAGGATTTTTATTGGGCCTCACGGCGGAAGATAGTCCCACACACTCCCTGCAGCCCCGTCAGGCAGCAGGATAATGCGTTACGCATTTTCCCTGGGTCGAAATTGGACAAAAATATGTAACGCCAAATGTTTTACTAGTAACGCACACTATTAGAACACTTTTTACTTTTGTTTTTAAGTTATTCGTTGTTTATTATTTTATGTTTTTATTAACTATGTAGCACCAAACTTTGAAATCGTAATAAACATACTAAAAAATTAGTATTGTAGAACGCTGATCGAAAGTCAGCCCGTTAATTCAATGGCGCCATTCAATTAATGCACTAGCCTCCCAATTGGTCGACTGATAATGCCACTTGGTTGCGACATACATATGAGTATATGTACAAATGTTGTTGTCTGTGTATGTGTGCCGAAAACTAATATCTTTTTTTGTATTAAAATTTTGTGAAGCGATTACAATTTTTTCCTGTATGACCTACATTTTAACGTTATTTAACTACTTAAATATAATTGAACAAAACGTTTTACAACTCTGGAAGCGAGGGGCAAACACACCGATACGAGTCGACCGCGAGCACCGCGTTTCATATTAGTCAGTCACCAGTCGCATTTCGAGTTTGCGCCGTCGAATTTTTCTGGGTGTGTCACTAAAATTTCAATACAAGTACGTACAAATTCAACATTTATATACCGGTAATATAGTTTAAAAGCAACATTCGAGTGATTAAGACTGTTTAATAATAGTAAAAACGAATAAATTTGTCGTTGAGCCGGCGAAATCCGGCTACTTGTTTGTTACCGAGTTGCCGGCAACGCCGTTTTATTTATAGCTAAACCAATTACGAAAGTAGATTTAGTAATATCAATTCTAAAGTTAAATTTTCTTTATAGGAAACATCAAAATGAGTGGCCAACAATACTACCCGTACAAAGTAAGTTACCACCTACATTTTAGCACTTTACGTTTACCTACATAGCTATTGATTCTCACTGGATGATGTCATCTTTTCTCGGAAACCTTGCTAACTTTGGTACTGAAATATAGAGCGCATTACATTAAATTTTGTGGATTTTTTTCCTTATTAGCTTTTTTTATTAATCACATAGTTGAGTAAATGTGTTATGCACATATTTTATCCTAATGACACTAGTGAAAAGTTTTCGATGTTATATGTATTTGACATACTATTTTAAAAAGTATTTGACTGACAGCCATTTCCAGTGCCGTTTGGCCATTTTGATCCAATCCTATAAGTCTATAAATTAATTCCTCATATCGATAATGACATCAGTGATGTCTTTGGTGATTTTCCAAGCTTGTAAAAGATTTACAACAATTAACCTAAAACAATTAAGACTGAAGACCAAACATTATTAGATATTACCTTTCTGGGTGACAATGTCCGTCAGAAAAATACTTAAATAAATCTTTCGAAATGTTTAGTAGGCACCTACTTAACACATCCACTATCTGCCGATTATACTGGGGCGTACCCACGGCTACATAACATATCCACTTAGTTTCTAATACGAAATACCTATAACTATCAAAAACAAAGATGACTATCCACTTAACCATCTTTTAAAAATCACTTAGGTACCTTTGATGTTAACCCACTATTTCAATGACTAACGGCCGGTTTCTGAATTGAGAAAAGCACAAAATCTCAACTGATTATTCTCAATAACTTAAGTTTTTTACGTTTCACATGGTAAAAAGTCCTTGTTTTATTAAATTGCTATCAATTGATAATTAAAAAATAATAAATCAGTAATGAAAAGCTGTTTAATTGACGTTTAAAATGGCTTAAGCACGGTTTGAGACGAGTTCAACTTCAAATTCTCAATTCAGAAACCGGGTGTTAGTAGCACTACCTATCTCTATATGTCAATAAAATACTGGGAAGTTGAAAATTCCTTTGTAACTGTGACAGAACCCTTAGAAATATGTTGTATTTGTTTTATATTTAACTACAGCTTATTTCTTTGCACAAAACCAAATTAACGAGTTCGAGATAATTGACCCTTATGAATGTTACCTCACTTACAACGTGACATGACAGCAAGTCATGTTACCCCAAATGTCTATTTCTCCGGTTGATTTTAAACTCTACCCGCAAAACATTAAGGTTTAATATCAAATGGAGACGTTTGACATATTTGTATAACCTGACGTGCTGTTGACTGTACATTATACTTTCCGTAAACCTTTTTCATTTTACCACCCCTTACGAATATTGATAATAAAAAACAAACACACATTTAAGAAAAAAGAAACTTTTTGGCCGGATTTATTAATTGTAATAATGTCTTTTGTTTTTTATGTTGGAATGGCTGTTGTTGTCTCGAGTTAGTAAATAAAAAAAGGGGTAAAGCTTCCGGAAGAACCTGCAATCAGGATAAATTACACTAACCACAAAGCCGGCTTAATAATGTAAAAATTATTAAAATTTTCCTTATTTCATTTTTTAACTGAAACTTTTATCTTACGTAGATATCTAACGAAGTAAGAAAGAGATTCGTCTGAAAATTAATATTCTATCCACAGTGCACCCCCACCGTGTACCCCGCGGAGCCTTTCGACCCCGCGGCGGATGCGGAGACGCTCCGCAAAGCGATGAAAGGTTTCGGCACCGATGAGAAGGCCATCATCGACGTACTATGCCGCCGCGGCATTGTTCAGCGGCTCGAGATCGCCGAGACCTTCAAGACCAACTATGGCAAGGTCAGTGTCTTACAAAGCAACAATAGGATTCAGTCTTACAACAACTCCTTGGTCTAAAGCACTTGGTTAGGTACACTATACGCGATGTAATACCTGGCTCGATTGCACAAGTTACCTAATACCTATAATAGTTGCTTCGTAATAACGTTATAATTTCAAACTACATTCCAGCGCAACAGTTTTATGAGGCTTATAAAACGGATTACCTGCCATCAAAAAAAGATCTTAAAAACAGGTTAAACTGGAAAATGTTCTGGCTTGTGCATCATGCGTTACACTTTTGCTTATGAGCTTTCGAAATTTCCATACATAAATAATGTGCATAGACTGGTATCAAATTTTTGCCGCTGACCTTCAATTGTTTTTCAACCCGGAATGAACTTGAAATGTCAAATTCATTGTAATGGTTGGTCTGTTGGTTATATGTAATATGTATGATACAAACGCAGTCGAATCCTCGTAAAAACATTTTAAAAGGATCACTAATGCATAAAATATAAACAAACAATACAATAAGAGAAAGAAACTAAACTCCAGTTAATTATACAAACTTGAAACATTATACAAATTCATAACATGATTCATATGCAGTCAGCGAAGTCAGTTTTAAAACACAGACAAATTACTAATACAAGAAAATAGTCTATGAAAAGTAGCCATAGACTCAAACAAAAAAAAACTCGAATTTCGATATCTATAAATTACACCCCCACTATATCGAAATAAATAAAGGTTAACTCCAAAAACATTATAATCTGAATATAAAAAAAAAATTAAATCTTTACGAGTCCTAAAGTCTCCATGAATTTGTAATGCCTTGCCCTCGGCAGACCTTTCGTCAATAAATCAGCAGGCATCTGAGAAGTCCCAACATATTTAGTTTCAACAATCTTATCATCAATAACTTCTTTTATGAAATTGTAACGCACATCTATGTGTTTGGACCTCTTGTGTGACTGATGATTATTGGCAAGTTTTAATGCACTCTGACTATCACTAAATAAAACTATTCTATTGCAAAATCCAACTATTTCAATTTCTAGTCTACGCATATATATGGCCTCTCGACAAGCTTCTGATAAAGCCATATATTCCGCTTCACAGCTACTCAATGCCACTGTGCGCTGTTTTCTGCTTTCCCAAGAAACAACAGATCCGCTTTTCAGAAAAGTATAACCAGTATATGACCGTCTATCTAAGGCATCACTCGCCCAATCAGCGTCTACATAACCTACCAAATCTGCTGTTTCTTTGGAGTACTTCAGACCGTAATCTCTAGTCTTATACAAGTATCTTAGAACCCTTTTAGCATAAGAAAAATGAACATCTGAATAATAATTATTGAATTGTGACAAATAACTGACAGAGTATGCTATGTCTGGCCTAGTCAACACTGCAAGATACATTAAACATCCTAATAACTTTTGATATGGAATATCATCTTTACAGACACTAGATTTGTCAACATTTAATTCCACTGTGTGACATTCTGACATCTTAAACTTTTGTATCAACTGCTCTATATAATGCTTCTGATCAAGGGTTACAACACAGTTCTTCCTATCAACATTAATTCTCATGCCTAGATAATGTTTGACATCACCAAGATTTTTAATTTTAAATTTAGCACTTAAGGCCTCAATTAAACTATCAGTTTCAGACTTTACATTTGAAAAAATCAGAAAATCGTCTACATAGAGACCAACTATCACTTTTTTTTTATTATGATAATCTTTTATAAATACACAAGGCTCTACTTTACTCTTGACATAACCTAAATTACATAAAATTTCATTAACTCTATCATACCAGGCCAATGATGCCTGTTTTAAACCATAAATAGCCTTTTTTAATCTAAGAACCTTGTTACAATCAACAATAGGGAAATATTCAGGTAACTGCATAAATATAGTTTCCTTTAAACAACCATTAAGAAATGCTGTAGTGACATCTAGATGGGTTATGTCCATATTTAACTGTACACTCAATGCAAATAGATAACGCAAAGTTGAATGTCTTATAACAGGAGAGAACGTCTCGTTATAATCTACACCAGGTCTTTGTGTAAATCCCTTAGCAACTAACCTTGCACGATATCTCACTTGTTTGTCACAATATTTCTTTTTAAGAACCCACTTGCACTTCACCACTGTGCCTGCACTTGGAACATCTACCAACTCCCATGCATCATTTTCACTAAAACTGTCCAGTTCTTCCCCAATTGCATTTAACCACTGCTCCTTTTCTGGCCCTGCCAATGCTTCCTGCAGAGTCAGATCACCAGCATCATCCCAAGCTTCCAAAGTAGAATTAGCACACATATTTGAATATCCAAACCGTTCTGGTTTCTTCCGCAGCCTAACAGTTCTTCCATTATACTTTGATTCATCTGATTCAGTCAACTCAGTATCTTCATATTCACTTGGAATATATGTCAGGTCAGATTTGTCACCATGACTTTCAATTATAGTGTCTTCTAAAACATCTGAAGATATGCCCCCCACTGAATCTAGATTCTCTTCATTGCATTCTTTGCTTTCTGTCACAGGCATTGACACTTCTTCCATTATGATAACATCTCTACTAGTGTTGATCTTCTTGGTGACGGGATTATAAAGTCTATACCCTTTTATGTCCTCTGAATAGCCCACAAGTATCTGCTCCTCTGACTTTTTGTCCCATTTTTGGCGCTTTTCCTTTGCCACATGCACCATGACACGGCTCCCAAAAATTCGCAAATGACTTATGTCTGGCCTACCTCCTGTCCATACTTCATAGGGTGTTTTATCATTCAACGCTGGAAGAACAGTACGGTTATGCAGGTAGACTGCTGTATTTGATGCCTCAGCCCAAAATTCTTTACCTAGCTTGGCATCAAATAATAAACATTTCGCTTTCTCAATGACCGTGCGATTAAAACGCTCCGCCAGGCCATTTTGCTCCGGCGTGTAGGGATTCGACTTCTGATGCAAAATACCATTTTGCTTCAAATAATCATCAAAACTTCTGTTGCAAAATTCCTTCCCATTATCACTGCGTAGTATTTTAATTTTTCTGTTTAATTGGTTCTCTACTTTGACCTTGTAATTCTGGAAGTATTGAAGTGCTTCACTTTTCTGTTTCATGAAATATATGTAGGTCATACGACTGTAATCATCAATGAGCAACATGAAGTACCTGGACCCACCAATAGAAGCATTTTCCATCGGACCACATACATCACTGTGAACTACACCCAATAATTTATCACTTCTCGAACCAGTATGTCCAAAAGGAAGGCGTGACTGCTTGCCTTCACAACAAACAATACATGACGATTGAGAAATATCACTTTTCTTCTCAAGTTCCATGCCACTTACTGCATCAGGCATCTTATTTAAGTACAAGCTATTTACATGGCCTAATCTGCGATGCCATGTGTCTATAGATATAAATGTTGTGGCCAGTGTGCTCTCAGGAGTTATCAATTTGTAGACTCCATTTGTTAATGATGCTACGGCGACCAATTGCTCATTTCTGTTGTAAATACTGCACCCGCTGGTAGTAAACACCACTCGGTTACCTTTTCTGACCAACTGACTGACAGATAGTAAGTTTGTGGTTAATTTCGGCACACACAATACTCCTTCAACAATCACGTCATATTCACTGTCGTTAGTAACCGTCGCAATTTGCACGTCACCCGAGCACTTTACACTAAGCTTTTCTTCGTTCGCAACAACGATTTCTTTAATTAGATGCTCGGTCGAGACGTTTTTAATCCAATCTTCATTTGAGGTTAAGTGGGCGCTTGCTCCCGAGTCAACATACCAATCTGTTTTTGAAAAACTGCCATTTAGGAAGACGGCGTTGAACGCATTTGTTTGTTTACGTTCACTCGATTTGGTATTTAGAGAATCCTTAGAATCCTTATCAATAGTACATTGATTGCGATAGTGCCCGGTTTGTTTACATCTATAACACCGCAGTACTTTCTTTGACTTTGACATTTGCGAATGTCCATTGTCTTTTGCTCTACTGTGACCAATGCTGCCAACCTTGTTTTTTTTTAAAATTGCAAATGCCCCGCTTGCGTCGCCATTATTGTTTTCGTCCAAATCCATCAACTTTGATTTAATGGCATCGGTGGTGATGGCGATCCCGGAATGCTCGATCGCCATTATCATCGGCGAATATTTCTCCGTTAAACCAGCTAACAATAAACAGCCGATCCACTCGTCACTGATTTGAAATCCTGTTCCGCTTAGCTTTTGTCCAGTCTCTACTAGCTGTGTCACATAACTTGTCATAGTACTGCAATTTTCGAGACGAATCGAGATAAGATTTCTCAATAAACTGATACGTCTACTGAATCCGGAGTCGTCGAATAAGGCTTTCAGTTTATTCCACAGTTCCAACGACGTTTTGACATCCTTTATGTGCACGTACAAACTTGAGTCGATCGTAAGAATTAATTTAGCCTTGGTCCTCGCATCATCAGCGGCTTCTATAATCTTCCCGGCAGCAGGCTTTATGCAATGCTCCATATTCTCCAGGATCAGAAAATTCTCCGCGGCGAAGCACCACTCCGTATAGTTTTCTCGTCCTTTTAACTTTGGTACATTTACCAAATAGTTCGTCGACATGATTTTTGTTGCAATCTATCACTCGCGAACTTTGTTAGAAAAACAACTATTTCTAGCTAAAAAAATATATGCGACCCTGGGCCCATAACCTATTGTTAATAACAGGTACAATAAAATATAATTTAAACGCGTGGCTGTTTCTAGAGATGAAAAACTGCCATTTTTTATTACCATAAAAACACAGACAAATTACTAATACAAGAAAATAGTCTATGAAAAGTAGCCATAGACTCAAACAAAAAAAAACTCGAATTTCGATATCTATAAATTACAAACTCTACCGTGACTTGGTTCCCAACGTTAACCGACTGTATGTACCTACAGAGCTTACAGCCTTAAGCCTTGAGCCTGTGAACTACGCGGGGTTTAGTCGTGATTCGTTTCGTTATTTCATTTGATTGTGTTACAAATAAATGAAACATTTGCACCAATTAACTTGAAGCTCCTACTCGATAGGCATAGAGGCTTTATTTGAAGCTTTTAACCAAAATATTACTATAAATTCATTACTTGCTCATACTCCCTTAAGCTTATAATAACTCCATTTAGATAAAAGTCCTCATCAGCTAATTCACAATGAATCACTTAAGTAATTTAAATACAATGAATTAAAGTCTAAGGTGTTGTATTTTAATCCATAAATTTTAAGGGATTAGAAAATTGTTTCTCAGTTCCCGGGCGCCATAATGACTTTTTTCAAAAGTGCGTAAATAAGCTTGATTAAAGAATCGGAATCGGGAGTAATCCTATGTTGCCGTGTTTAAAAACCAAAACATCTTCGAGTCATACTTAACGGTATAGGCATAAGGTTATCCATAAATTACGTCACATGATAAGGGATAGAAGGGGAGGTAATGAAGTGTAATATATTGTGACAAGAGGATGCGAGGGTGCTAAGGTTTGTGACGTAATTTTTAAATCTAATATAAAAACACATTTATGCAGTAGCGAACTAACCTCATCGGAGGCCCGGGGCAATAGGTTCAGATTGACAACTTTTACTAACAAGGGCATAAACTTGATATTGCGTTTACCCTCCCCTCTCGCGCATACTCTATTTTAGCGGATAGCTGCAGTCCATTTCGATTTTTTTTTTATTAAATTTAAGTAAATGAAATTATAAATTATCAGAAATTTCATATTTGAGAGGGGAGTGTCCCCTAAGTGCCTGTGATAAAGTCTACTAAAATCAGGGCTAATATACATATTAACAAACCCGGTAACTGGGCTATGACGTCACTACAATTACCAAAATTAACAATGAGAACGTACCTTTAGAGATAACGATTTAAAACAACACAGAAATAACTTAGAAGTTTGTACATTCGATTTTCACCTTTAAAACTTGAACATCAAGATGCTTTTTCGTTAGGTTGTCATAACCTCGAGTCTAGTAACTTGTTTGTTAATGGGTCAATCAAAATCTCTCACGGTAGGCCTTGAAAATAATCTCAAGTTAGTCATCGTTGATTCATAGCTCCATCAGCTCGATGAGGAACTGTTTAATCGCATTTCCTGACTGTGACGAAGTCAATTATTAACAGTCATGAAACGTACAATTGATATTTAGATATGCAGGTAACTACTGAATATAACCATATACCATTTATACTGGTTGGACTTGGACTTTTTCCCCAAAGTGCTTGCTCTTAGTGTTGAATCTTTCTACTTTTTCTTATTCTTTTTTCGATTAACACAGAGATTTGGATTGTTGTTACCAACTAAATTTTTGCATTCCCAGAATAACCATGAAAATCTGGGAAGTGCGTTTAACTACTAAACAACAGAAACAGAGTAAGACAAACTAATACAGTTCTATTTTTTCTGACATAGTTATCAAAAATGAAATCTGACGACTGTATAAAGTGAAGTTATATAATTGCCATCAACTTGTATCTTATCTTTTTTATCACAATGTTTACATAGCAATTTACAAGAATGATACAATCTTTCTTGATAGATACAGATAATAATTTTATAACAATATTATTCATATCACAATTCTGTTGATCAAAATATAACATCTTTCCCATAAAGATATACATATATATAGGTATATAGCTACAAATATGTATACAATATTTTGTTTTGACTTTTTGAGACTGAGAAATGCGTTATACTCACTCGCTCCCCCTAGCGCGAGGTCGGCGGGTTATGTAGGGCTCTCCCGTGTGGACCTACCTCAAGATGAGGTTGGTCAAATAGCGGGGACCCACTAAAACTCAGCGACCTTACTTAAATCTTTACTATGCCATCGACTTTTTGTTATTAGATTTGTGTACAATAGTACGTACATACATACTTTTTCTCCTATTATTCCTTTTCTGTGCATACTGTGCGATTATCTAACTCTAACAGTGGAATCTCGCTCATTAAGTTCTTTTGGCGATAGAATCAAAAGCTATTTAAATTAATTCCTTATAATATAACGTCTTTATTTAGTTCATTAAGATATATCTTGTACTATCCATAAAATTTTCTGTATAAATTGGAAGAGAACAGAATTCTACTTCAATTTTAAATATCGTAACAATATAAATTAAAAAAATGCCCAAGTACTTACTCTAAAAGGTCATGACTTGATAGTAATATTTTTTTGCTCATTATTTTTAATCTGTTAATTATTGTATTTCCTATTGAAGTGTAAGTTAATTAAAATAAAAAACAAACATTATAATTAATTTAACTATTATGTTTAATATTTGCAATTAAATTATACGGACTTCCTTTCCAGAATTTTTCTAGGTATAAAATAAAAACTACGGGATAATCTGTCTGTAAATATATATATAACTCAAAGGGGACTGACTGACTGACATAGTGATCTATCAACGCACAGCCCAAACCACTGGACGGATCGGGCTGAAATTTGGCATACAGGTAGATGTTATGACGTAGGCATCCGTCAAGAAAGGATTTTGATCAATTCTATCCCCAAGGGGATAAAATAGGGGTAAAAGTTTGTATGAAACTTTGTCAATTTTGAACCGATCGGGCTGAGACTTTGCATGCATAAAGCTACTATGACTTAAGTTAGGGGATGCCTACTTTACTACGCGGACGAAGTCGCGGGCAAAAGCTAGTTTATGATATAAACGCATTTGTGATTCACTAGGAAATATTTTGTTTAGAATTGCTGCGTTTATCAAGCCGACTAACTGAATTTCATCATTAGCCTATTAACTTCCTCACTGCTGGGACCCAGAACATCCTCGTTAATTGAATCGAATAGAAAAAATAGGATATAATCGTGCTAATCGATGCTTGTTAGCGATTGCTGATGAAGGCGGGGATCGGGATAATCCTATCAAGCAAGTGACGATAAAGACCGTCAAAGCATATTCACTTAAACATTGAGGTATTCTTCTACAGGACCTAATCAGCGAACTGAAGAGTGAGCTGACCGGCAACTTGGAGAATGTGATTGTCGCCCTGATGACCCCTCTGCCCCATTTCTATGCCAAAGAATTGCACGACGCCGTTGCGGGACTTGGTACAGATGAGGAAGCTATCATTGAGATCCTCTGCACTCTCTCCAACTACGGCATCAGGACCATCTCTGCATTCTACGAGCAGTGTAAGTGTACCAGATATAAATATTAGATAGCTTTGGACATGGTTAGTTCTTGCGATAGTTGTGGATGGGTTTTTATGTATTAAGATACCACAAACATAACTGTAAAAAAGTTTTCCACCTTGACTAAATAAAAACTTTTTTTTTAATATCTCTGTACGGATATTTTTCTAAAGTATTGAAATATTTCATGCGTATCATAGGTAGGTACTATCTACTTACATATACTCATAAAAGCAGTATAAAAAATTAGAAGATTTAGCTATATCTTCACTGAAGTGGTTTGTATCGGGACTGTAATAAATATAAGATAGTAGATGTAAGGGTGTCATAACTGTTGACATTTCGTGCTCCAATAAGTTTTAAATTTTGAAATCTGACGTCAAAAAATTTAGGACCCATCATGCCCCTTGTCACACTTGCTTATCATCTCACCTCATAACAATTTATGGATCATCCCTTAGAAAGTGTATTGTTCAAAATTCTAACTATTATAAATATCGCACACCTAGATCTAAACTGAGACAACTCAAAAATTTGAGCGAGTTTTGACTTAGTACAATATTCAAATACTCGGTGATCATACGCATCTATCCAACATAACAGATTCAATAAAGGTTCGGGGATGAGCCGCTAGATAACTTAAGCTTTCTTTTGTTGAATCAACAGTGGTCGCGCTCCTGCCATGTAAACAAATGTATTGTCAAACCTCCAAATTAGTTTTTTGAGTTGTCTTAGTTTAGATCTAGGTGTGCGATATGTTGTTTTAAACTTTCATGGGTCATTAATATCGGAATGATTGCTAAAAACTTACTTAAAGATTTCTACCAATTACGTTAAATTTTAAGAGTTACTCCGTGATCATGGCGCGTGCTACAACTCCGAAATATCGGGAATTCGTAATACATAAATACATGGTAGCACACCATTTTAAGCGAGCATTCTGATATCGTTAATAAGTTTTATTTAACTAAATACTTGTTCACAAAGTTTATCATACCTTTACCTGAGTCATTTACGCCAGTTATGTAGGTTATTAGTCATGAATCAAAATAGAAACTGACTTGTCAAGACAATGACACACTTAGGCATTCAATCAAGACGAGATTATAATTAGCTATGAATCCTTTTAACCGGGTTCGATATTGAAAATGTAGTTTTGTGTTCGACGGCTATGTGTTTATTTTTACGTAAATGCCAAAAAGTAAAAGCTCGTGCTAATTAGTTTTATAATAATATTGTAAACCATTTAGGCCCTAGTTTTATCACTAATTTGTTCTCATGACATAAATGCTATTCAATACTATATAATTAATAAGCTTTGGTGTAAATTGTTGTGACTGGTTCACAATGGTTACTATTATAGATCTTTTTAATTACTGTATAGTAACTAAAGGCTTTAGTTATCGAAAATATTGTTTACTTGGATGTATTCATTGATTTCTCTATGAATTGTAGACAGACTTACAAAATTCATACCAGCCTGAGGTGGTCCTACAAATAAAAATAAAAAAAGGAGTTTGCCTAATTTTGTATTCAAAATTTTATATTGATACTTTTCTTTAATGAAAATATTGACTATGGATAAATTTTCGCAGTGTACAACAAAAGCTTAGAATCAGACCTCAAAGGTGACACATCCGGTCACTTCAAAAGGCTATGCGTATCCCTCTGCATGGCCAATCGCGATGAAAACCAAGGAGTAGATGAATCAGCTGCCAAGGCTGACGCTGAGGCCCTTGCCAATGCTGGCGAAGGTCAATGGGGCACTGATGAATCTGTGTTCAACTCTATCCTTATAACACGATCCTACCAACAACTCCGACAGGTAAGTTTGAAGCATATCTATGAGACAGCGATAATTTCTGCTAAACCTTTTTTTTAAAAAATATGGTTATAATTTTTTCATGTTACAGGAAAAATTTGTAGTCCGTGCAACAAATATATTTGTGAACCATATTAATTCTTTTCTCATTTTCTTAAATAAAAGAGACTATGCCAGAAATGTCGATGAGACCTAAATTACTGAACGTATTCTTGTTAAAATTATACTACTTTTAACATTACGTTATTATCATAAGTTGCAAATATGATAACGATAGTGACATAATTTATACTAGCTTTCCGCCAGCGACTTTGCCCGCGTGGTCTTGTATTATACATAAAAACCTTCCTTTTGAAACACCCTATTTATGAAAAAAACCGCACCAGAATTCGTTGCGTAGTTTTAAAGATTTAAGCATACACAAGGAAATAGGGACAGAGAAAGCGACTTTGTTTTATACTATGTAGTGATAAGTAACATCGCTGTCGCGGCTGGGTAAAGCAGTCGCTCCTTTCGCTTGGTAAAGTTCCCTGTCGTATTTAATTCTCTATCTAAATGTGATGTTCCTATAATATGATGATACTTGTGTAAAACACGAACTCTATTTAGTCCACCAGTCAGATGACAGAAAAATACTAATAGGTATTTTATTTTGCTTCAATTTAACAAGAAATGGCTTAGATAATATAGGCATTAAAGTTGAGGAATGGGGGTTCGCCACGTCACAACTATGTAAGAAATTTACAAACATGTGACGTCATACTACATTTCAACTAGTATTAACGCCGTAATTTATTGATTACGGAATAAAATACTTGTTTAATAATCTACCCAACGGACAAATAAAAATAAGTCATTACCCCTATTAAATAATGTGTCAGGCTTGCGATTGTTCGGCATACTTATTATGGGTCATGTTAATATTCATAACCTGTTGTATGCAATTGATAAAGTATTATATATTTTAGCTCCACTTGCATATCAAACGCGAATTTCAAGTGCTTGTCTGCATTAGCAGTATCGTATGAAGTGAACCAAAACGAATACAGTAAATTTTAGAGGAGCGAATGTTGCAAAAAGATAGTTTTTATTTTAATGCGACCTCTTTAATACTTTTCAATTTCATATTCATTACGTGACCACTAATCTCATTAAGTTTCGGTTTAATGATTATACTTAATGAAACAAAATCACTTCCCGCTATCTGTAGAACGCAGAGATACTTCAAACTATATTTTTTTCGTCAATATAGTGATTCAATAGTAAAAGTTATATGTATAATACAAGACCACGCTGACGACACCGCTGGTGAAAGCGAGTACATAATAATATTACATAATAAAAATTAAAAAATACTTATGTTTTAGTAAAGCTCCTGCCGCTTATCAGAGATTGTAAATACACTTACTGTGTAATAGCATCGTTTACGGCAATCATTATTTCACTAATGATGTGACGAAGGATTTTTTTCTCGACTTATATTCATCAATCTCGCTCAAAATCAAATAAATCTGCGCAAATTGTATCAAGAGGTCAATGATGCATAAGACATGCAGATTACAACCTATTAAAGTCTAGACTGAACGTTCTTTATCTATACATTGTGTAGCACTATTCAAATGTAATTTAGAAGTTGTATCTACATTCCAGATCTTTGCAGAATATGAGCAAATGACGGGCAAAGATATTGAAGAATCTATCAAGAAGGAATTTTCAGGAAGCGTTGAAAAGGGCATGCTGGCTATCGGTAAGAAAACCTATTTATCTGTACTAATATAAAGTGGAACGATATGATTGTTTGTTTGCATCGAATAGGCTCTGAAACCAGAGGACCGATTTTAAAAATTAATTTCACCTACGGGAAGGTACATTACAGGGTGACAGTCTATAATGTACGCGTGCGAAGTCGTGGGTGTTATCTTGAAATATTATAAAAAGAAAAGATTTCATACACCTTTATTGTTTAGGTATATTCTATATATTAAAACATAACATACATTACTCAGATTCCAAGATGAGTAGCTAAAGCCCCCGTATCTGAGACAATGAAGGTACCACAACACCCAGACCCTAGACAATATAGAAAATTTCATTTTCTACATTGTCCCGACCGGGAATTGAACCTGGGACCTCAGACATGGCGACACCTTGACGACTAAGGTCGTATAGCGCATGTAACATACGCTATTTTATTTTATTCTAAAAGACTTAATTAAATGGTTCGAATTTCATGTCTACAGGAAAAAAATTTCAGCAGTGCATAATTTTTTGGTATGGTTTAATTTAGAATATATTTACTAAGAAAACATATTTTTTTTTTTATTTCATACCTGTTAAATATTAATATTGATGATATTTTTTTCTGTAACTTCATATTATACATATAAATTTTTATTTTTTAATAGTAATAATCAAATAAACATTACCTATGTATTATTTAAACTGAATTAAGAAAACTTTGCCATTTGCATGCTAAGGTTGTCACTCGCATTTAGTAATAAATGTGTACATCAAAAGCTGTGACTACACGCCATCAAGGTCGTTGATAATCAGTCCATAACCATAAAAACGTGACCTTCTGCCTGTGAAGTTAATTTTTCCGTTGTCATGTCATAAAGCCCTGATGTATGTATAAAGTACTATGTACAACGTTTTTGTTGTAATATCACTATCCAAAAACATGCCAAGTGCGAATCAGATTCACGCACGAAAAATTCCGTGTCGTAAACGAGCGTGCCGTAAAAATGACCTTTGTTGTAGGTATTCTACTTTTTTTAGTATTTGTTGTTATAACGGCAAAATACGAGTATATCATCTGTGAAAATTTATAGGAATCAGACATACCGATACCTACTATTAATGTTATATATTACTCAGATTCATTTAACAAGTTTTCTTTATGTCTAAAACGACAAACTGCACTAAACAATTTTGCTTTACATAATTTTACATTATTCCAGTGAAATGCGTTAAAAGTAAAGTTGGTTTCTTCGCTGAACGCCTGTACTATTCGATGAAGGGGTTGGGCACTAACGATAAGACCCTCATCAGAATTATTGTCAGCCGTTCCGAAATCGATCTTGGGGATATCAAACAGGCTTTCCTGGACAAATACGGCAAAACCTTGGACAGCTGGATTGCTGTAAGTAATTTGATATTTTTACACTCTCATTCATATCCATTGCCAGTTTGTAACACTTCTCGGAAAATCATAATAATTTAGCCTTTGTTAAAAAAACATACTGACTTAATCTTTTAAGGACGTAAAGTTAAATGTAAAGATTCATCTTCCATTGAAAACATTCATAGTAAACAATGTAAGTAGACTACGTAGCCAAGTGAAAATATAAAATATTAGTTTTTTATTTCAAATAAATTCTTAATTTAAAATACTCGATACTATTAACATTAATAGCACAATTTATAGTATAAAAAAGTTATGATTAAATTAAAAAAGTTCAGTGTAATAATAAACCTCTATTTAGAAACACATAGGTGGCCCATTCAAGTATGATTTAACTTACCTACTTCAGTTCAGAATACTTATATACATATCTGTAGTTCTTAAAAAGGTAATTAAATTAGACGGGTCTTTTATCACGAATATGCACTTGTAATTTATCCAGCAGATCAGTATAATATTCGCCATTTATGTTTTGTCCTTTTAGAAGGTAATCAATCATCAATATACCCTTCGAATCCCAAAATACTGACGCCATGACTTTCCCCGCTGATTTCACGGCTTTTGCTTTCTTTGGAGCCGGGGATCCTTTTCCCGTCCATTGTTTAGACTGAATTTTTGATTCAGGTATATAGCGGTGAACCCAAATCTCGTCTGTAGTAACAAACCGTCGCAGAAAATCAGTCGTATTGCTCTTAAAGCGGTCCAAACATTCTTGTGAAATTTGCATACGAACGCGTTTTTGGTCAACTGTAAGCAATCGCGGCACCCACCTTGCGGATAATTTTTTCATACATAATTCTTGAGTCAAAATGTAATGCGCCCGTTCTTTAGAGATGCCTACAGTATCAGCTATCTCGGAAAGTTTCAATCTTCGGTCAGCTAAAACTGCATCATGAATTTTGATCACAATTTCTGGAGTAGTGGCACTTTTTGGACGTCCTGGACGATGTTCATCTTGGGTGCTGGTACGGCCACGTTTAAATTCAGCCACCCAATTTTCTATGGATATGAAGGAGCATTTTCTCCCAAAACATCCTTCATCTCCGAAAAAATCTCTCCACCTTTTAATCCTTTTAAATGCAAAAATTTTATCACAGCTCGTAGCTCAATTATATCCATTTTGCAGAAAAAACAAAAGAATGCTTTTTGAAATGTCAATATTTAAAAGAAAAACTATACGATCGATTTGAAATTTGGAACACTGGCAGCTAATGAACCAATGAGTAAAATACTAAGGAGATTTTATATAGTTATTATACAAAATATGGGTTGGGCTAGCTATTTATCATCCCGCCTACGTAATATTCTACAAACTTATGATATCGAGGAGTTGGTATATCATCCACAATGGTCAATAGGGACATTGCCTTTACTGTTAGAACCACGTTTAGAAAATCTAGTAATAACAATAAAAACTTAAATAAATGACAATTAATTATATATTTATTGCCGACAAGTGTTGCAAAATCGCATAATAGATTCATTTTAATAATATAATCTCTACAAAATAATAACGAAATACACATAGTATACATTATTGTGTTGCTTATTAATGTCACTTTATTTGTTATGTACATATATAAAAAGACATAGATATCATACTAATGCCAATCACGCACTGTTAATAATGTTCATAGACTTGCTTTATTGTTTTAAGCAATAACCCCAATAATTTATTTGTGTAAATTACAATTTGTGTTTACTAATGCAATGGACACGAAAGTTTTACGAAATACATGTATTTGTAATAATTTTATCTACAAGAAAACTGACCCATAGTTTCTTATAAAAATGTATACCGTGAAATTTTAACAATTTCTATCTAAACATAAGCATGTTAAAATATTGCTTAATATAAAATGCAACAAATTATCATCTTTATCACCTTGTACACTTTTCAACCATATATTAAATCGGCACCTTTTAACAATCTTCATTATTTATACAGATCTGTTCATTGATATATATGTGTGGAATTTAATAAATTAGGAGTATCAACCAATTACCTATAAGCAACTAAATAAAAAAAACAACTAGCGTGAATCAAATATTTTTTAAACTAAAACCATGTTGACTGTTTTAACAGTGCTTATATTCTAAGTTGATTTTTGTTTTTCCGATTGAAATCTAACGTGAAGTGACTAAGAAAGCAATATTATAAGCAGAACGACATTAGAATGTCCCATTTTGATTGCAGGATGACACCTCAGGGGATTACAGGAAGGCACTATTGACCCTTATCGAATAAGTTAATCGAGTGTACAGGACAACAACGAACGCTAGCCATCTAATTCCAATAAACTTAAGTTCCGTTTGTCAATTTGTTAGGTTGTTATGTGATTTTGAACAGTGATTGATTCCAAAGTTTAAAAAGAGCTAAGGCTTTGGGAATGTCTTTTAGGTAGAGAAAAGAGATCTGTATATTTTGCTTCTTTTCACAAATTCATGTAATTCTCTTGTCACAAGTAGCTAACGCTTTGTGTAATTTGTTTACGTGCATGAGGGTACGGTAGTTGTACGTGATTTCCACTAGTTCATACGTAGTTGTTGCGATTTTTTTCAGGAGGACATAGGAGGTCCCATCGGCCAAATGCTAGCCGTGCTATGTTACTAGATTTACTACGATCTAAACACTCATTATTACGAGATTCTTCGCCGGATAACTAACAGATAGCTGTGTGAACTCTATTTATTTTTGTGAATGTGTAAAATCACACTTAAATGTTGCATTTTATTTTAAAGACATTTATTTTTTTATTTTAAGTCTTAATTAAGTTAGGAGTGATATATTAATCTCATGCTTACTCGAATGCACGTTTTTTTTTAATTATGGGCCAGTTTCTTTATTTTTTCTGTTATGTAATTTCCATGAATGTGAGTTGGTATTCCGTATTGTTTACAGGATGACCTAGACGGTGATTTCAAGAGAGTGCTAGTCACACTTTGTGCTTAATCCTGCAAAATAATCTGTTAAAAGCAAAATTATTTTTAATATACATGTATTTTGTTGAGCTTTCGCATGCAATTGTCTGCCTTTAGACTGTTAAGAAGTACAAAAAACATATAATATATTTTGCAGGATGATACGAAGGGAGACTACAAAAGGGTGTTACTTACTCTCGTTTCTTAAGAAAAGCATAATTGCTTAAGCAAAGCATAATAGTTAAGTGAAACTGATTGTACGTTCGCCTTGTAATGTTCTTGTTCCGATATGAAACTGCCTTTATATTATTGATTGTTGAACAATATATTTTGGAAATAAAAAGCTTGATATTTTTATGAAATGAGATATTTATTGGTGCTCTAGTTTTGTTCACGATATACATATTTACATTAAATTACTTTAAAAAATACAGGTTGTTTTATTGAATATCCCTTATTCCTTCTTGTGTTATCTGTAAGAGAATGGTTTAATAGTTTATTTGATTGACCGACATTTCCTTGCTTTTCAAAATTTACTATATTATCTCAAATATCAATTTATTTTGAACTCTACATATTAAGGTTGAAAATAAAGCGCAGAAATATGAGTTTTGTATAACCTGACGTTCTGTTTACGCCTGTGAGCCATATTAGTTGTGTTTTGTTTACTTAATAGATTTTTATTCAAATATAGAGTTACATTTTCTACTTCGGAAACTAGTATTTCTCGTACGCATTATTAACAGTAATAATATCTCAATGAGAGTGTTATGAAAGAATATCTTTCATATCATAGATCACTAGTTGGCATTTTTCCAAATGATAGACATACTACCAGGAAAAATACATGTATTGGACGCATTCCAATTCCAACGCCCCAACTTGTAATGATCCAAAAATGTAAACATGTCAATGTCAAACTGATATAATAATCTTACGTAAGACTTAAATTGGATGAATTTCGGTTACGCCCTCAGGATGAAAGAGAATACCTCAAAAGGTTATGTGTTACGTGGAAACACATAACCTTTTTATGTGGAAAACAAAAAAAAATTTAGAAGGGTATATGAAGTTTATGCCCCGGTTAGAAAAAAACGTAGATCCAGGCCTGTAAAATTCCTATGCGTCAGCGAGGAAACCCACCAGAACATCGAGGAAGATCTTCTGCTGAGAGAGTTTATGAAACTATATATCCTTACCCTAAATCTTCCAACAGTGTTTGGTGAATCATTACTCTTAAGACACACAGCAACTCTGTCGCGTCTGTCAGCATCGTCTTTCGACAACAACACACGCGTGTTACAGCGATGCGCCCACGAATCACCCATCGAACCGACTATATCACCGCTAGAGAGTCCTACGCGTGTAGTCATCTCATTCGTCACCACTACCTGACCAAAAATAATAACAAATGCATTAGTTTTTATCGGTTAAAAATGTTTATTAGGCGATGGTGGCAATTCTGATGGAACATTCTTCATACAGCTAGTAGCTCGGTGGCGTAGTGGATAAGCGCCACGGCCTGCGATCGTTGTCGTTAAGCAACTTTCACAAGGATCGGTCACCGGATGGGTGACAAAAAAAAAATGTCTCGAGCTACTCCGTGCTTCGGAAGGCACGTTAAGCCGTTGGTCCCGGCTGCATTTGCAGTCGTTAATACCCTCCAATCCGCATTGGGCCAGCGTGGAGGATCGTGGCCCATCCTCCTTAGCCATCCATAAGGAAGGCCTGAGCCCCTGCAGTGGGGACGTAAAAGGGCTGATGATGATGATGATGATGATTCTTCATACTAACAAAAGAAAATGGTTTGTTTTACCGTTATTTCGTAGTCATGTGAATCACATGTAATAAAAAAAATACTTCTGTGAATTAACATGACACCCAGGGTGCGCTGATATATATCAACGGATATATATCGATTGACATATACGTTCATATATATATCAATCGATATTTATAATATTTATTGTTAATTTTGTCTCCAATTAACAGAATATTAGCCCGACGTAGCAATCTTACTTACTAGAAAAGTCGAAATTTTAAAAGATAAAATATTAAATAAAGGCACCGGCAGTTTAAAAATCGCAACTTTTCATACGCACGATATAATATCCGATATGTATCGGATATATACTAATTATGAGATATTTTGATATTTATTATAAATATCGGATTTTTGCAAACCATGATGATACCTAAGGGGCTATTCTATTAGTTCTCGAACAAAAGTCATTTTTTTTTAAATTATTCTTATAATTAACTTAAAATCATATCCATGAAGGTCTGTGTATGACCTTCGTCCGTTGAATCATAAACTATCGGAAAATGCATTTATCTGGAATTGTATTAGCATTTCTAAAATAGATGAAATTTCGTTTTCAGACATATAATAAATAGGCCTTCAGGTGTCATGTTAATTTGTGCGAGTTGTATAATTAATGACTGCGCTCATCTCGCCAAACACCATGCCACATGGCGATGACAATGGTATCACAAGATTCCACATTGAAATGACCACAAAAGCGATTCCTACAATATAATAAGTTTACTTCTATTATCTTAATTATTTCCAGGATTGGAAACTAACATTGACCGGATCAAAATTAAATGTACTCTAGTGTGTGCTACATAATAGCTACCAATGCCACATATATTGCTCATATCTCATTCTACATAGCAAAAATTGTTGTGTTATGGAAATCTGAAATACCACAACACCGTGACCCGAGACAATAAGGCTAGATCTTGATACCAGCGGACATACGACCCACTCCACATAACTTAACATTCCTTTACTTTTACAATTTTAACTCGAGCTTAACATTCGCATATATCGGATTATAAATCCATATCAAAATTTTATTACCATTGCATTAATGTATGTGGGTATTAAAACTTTATTAAAGTAATGAAGCAACTAGGCTACCGTTATAGAGCAGTTCTGAAGCTCGCTAGTTTCAAGGTGTAGCCATTTCTGAGTTCAATTCCTGTCAAGTAAATGTAACGAATAAACTTTTCTACATTGTCTCGTTTCTAGGTGCATCACAACACATCTTCATTGTTTCAGATTTCCATAATAGAAATGTTTAAGCTTTATTCAGGCTGAACAAATGTATTTAATGCTGTCTCATATTTATTTGGTACTTGAGTAAAATAATGAATAAGAGACTTACAGCAATTTGTTTTTCTATAGCTATCCTTTGTAAGTCTGCCATCTGTCTGAATAATAAACCAGTTCTTTGGTTAGGTAAAATTCCCTCTTTGAACGGAAAAGCGATAGAGTCGATCACAATTAATCTTATCTGAAAGAATATAAAAAAAAAAACATTATTTTAATTTAATTCACTGATTTGACAATAACACTTGTTTAATCAATATTAGGGTACAAATGTAAAGGTGCGCCGTACCACCGTTTATTTCGTCAATGGATCCGAATGCAAGCTTTTTGTCTTTGATCTTCAATATCATTTATTTTTATTATTCAACTTTCGTAATTTGAATTATTGAGTAATCCAATATGCTCTCTTTATGAATGTCAGTTCGTAAAAAAATTATCGTTATCATATTAAATCATATAAATCCAATATAAGTTATTATTATTTAAATAAGAAACATGTAAACGTATATCATTGTGAAATATCTACTAAGTTCTACCTATTACGGAAAACCCAGAAAAGGGGTATGCAATTGTTCTATTAACTTGTTTTAATTATATGTTTAGATAATCATACGAACTGTTTTTATATTCCTTTTTTGTTTGTTACAGCTTTTTTTACCATTTAATAAAGTCATCATTTTATTAATTTGCCTAAGTATTGAACCCATCACATAAATATCGGGATGTACAGGTAATTCAGGACGAATTGCTTGAGAGCCTTTACACACGGTTGAATTTCGGATTCAGAATATCAATTCGAGTTTTCATACATTACACACATAGGTTATTATAATTCGAAATAACAAAGCCCAGTTGAAAAATGCTAGCTATTAATTTCAGACATGTCGTCGACGAGTATATATTTCTATCATACTGTTGGTGTATCCTGGCTATGAAAATTCATTGTCCTTACTGAGTGAACATACTAATGTTAAGCCGTATGGTGGCTCTGCATTAATATGTTTCTAGCATTTTTCAATTACGAATGGAGAAAACTTCAAATGGAAAACTACATGTAAATTTGTATAGAAAACTTCCAAAATTCCGAAGCACAATTCCTACTGTATGTGTCGGCACTAAGAAAAGGGAAAACTCAGCCTTAAGGTATTCTTAGGAGAAATACACATATTCTAATAAGGCATTAACAAATATATTTTTATTCTGACCTTATGCTGTTCCACTATATCAGGGAGTCTTAGCATGAGAGCACAATATCTCTCTAGACCAAATGCATTAACATAATGCAACTTTTCTAGTGCAGCTTCTTCATCAACTTGAGTATGATAGTCTAACAGTCTGTAGCATTTTGTTAAGGATGCTACTACAATTTCTAAAACAAAATTAAGAGTAGCATTAACTTCGGTTGTAAAACCAATAAGTGTTCATTAAATAAAGACAAATGTTAATAAATAGTAACAAGCAGTAGCTTATCATGTTACCAGCACAATTTATTTTGAACTCCATTAGGAACACTTTAGTGCATAGAATCAATAAAAAAAAAATCTGTGGAGGATGGGTGCTACAAATCCTGGTGTTTACTATTTAAACTCACCTCTATTTGTTCATTATGATCAATAGATTAAAGTGGTAATATTTATTTCTTATTATCTAATCGCAACAATGAGTTTTTTTCAACAATAAATAATAATATAAACAAACATTTTTAATAGCAAACAATAAGATTCCTTTACGATAACATTGCTAAGAGTAAAACAACAGGAGTTTTTAAGGTTCATCATACATTTTTTATGTTATTTTGAATTTCTGGTTAGAACAAAGTGTAGCTTTTTGCTAGTTTTCTACACCAACTTTATGCTTCCCTTTGGTACAATTGCAATTAGTAAACACTCCCAGAATTTGGTGGATCTTAAAAAAAATTGTCTCCTCTGTAAAACTGATCTGTAAGTATATGTTCCAGCTGGATTTTTGTAAATTGATGATTTTCATAACTTGACCAAACAGAATTTGTACTGTGTGAACATAAAGTCAACAATTACTTGAATAATTATAATTAATACATTAAAGGTACCTTGAAATCTTTCAGCAGTGAAATTTGTGTTGGTGTCCACATAGAGGGCTTCCGCATCTAACCCACCAAGAATTTTAGGTATTTGTACTGATGCACATAATTGTATACTAAAAGTTGGTATATTTGGTTAAAATGGCTAGTTCTTATTAAACAGAGACTACAACGATTTAATATATCAAGAGACTGTACCTGAGTAGAGAAAATATGAATATTATCCACAAATATTTATTCAATAAGTTATGGATAATGTTCATATTTCTCTGTAATAAAGCTGTCAATTCTCTTCTACTCACAGAAGAGAATTGACAGCCTTCTGTGAGTAGAAGAGAATTGAGTCTTATATCCATGTTATTAATTTTAACTACCTCGAGTAAATAAATGTAATGTATATGATGTAAGTATCAATGGCTGCTATCAATAATGTAGATAACATTTCGATAATATGAATTTACAAAAAAAAGCAGTTACCATATTTGTGTTTTCCCACTACCTGGCAGGCCCAGTAGCTCAGTCAAAGAACCTAATCGCACTCCTTCATTTCCGAATACATTATCTAGACTTTGACTGAATGTAGGAATGGAAGGCAAGCTTGTGTCTCTCTACAAAAGTTAAATATTTGGTACTTTAAATAAATAAAAAAGTAATTATTCGAAACTTCGATTTTACTATACTAAACCATGTTTCTTAGATCAAAGTGTTGTTAACATCCTAATACTTATGTGGTAAATAAAAATGACCTGCCTGCCATAGTTCAGCCGCGTTAACAACTTTAAAAGACATCTTTTATTTCAACTTAATTTTCATGTCACACTTTAATTATATTTCATATAAGTTTAGTAGTAGTAGTTTCGTCCATGGGACAGGTGGATATAAGTTTAGCAAAGAAAAAACAAACAAAGGCAAAACATTTTAAACTTTTTTGTTATGACCTAGTTTCGTTCCGTTATGCACAGAATTTCTGTCAACATCCCATAGTCAGAGACCCTTTATTCAATCTTCTCTATGGTGAGAGCATTGAGAGAGGCTCCAAAAGGCATTTTTTAATGTATTTGACCGACTGACCGGACCAAAAAATGATTATCGATTCTTAATCGAATCTAAAATAGTATTATATTGGAACGTTTTGCATTCACAATGCTGTACTCGAAAATATTCTGTTAAAGCGAAAAAGTAACAAGCGCTTGAAGAATTCGTCCTTGTAGGCCCTGGGTAGCTCAGTGGCTGGAGCAGTCACCTGGATTGCGAAAGGTCGTTGGTTCGAATCACAGAGTTCGAATCCCATCTCAGAGTACTAGAGATAAAGTGGATTTTTAAGCATTATTCACTAAAATATTATTCTGAAAATAGCACTTAAGCATACTGACTTTTAGAAAATATTTTATATTTTGGCTTATTATAATCTGATTAGATTATTTTGTACTTGCCATTCATAAACTTGCCGCTTTATTCTTTAACTCTGATGTTTTTAAGGACAACCGAAGTAAAGCTCTGTTTAGTTTTGGTATTCTGTAACTCTCTAAAAATAAATCATTAATCCTTAGCCATTTACAATATTTTTTTTTATTTAGATGAAATCACTTATTGAAGTTTACTGTAACGGTTACCAATGCTTTTGAAATATGATATATCAGTTTTTTCTTCATAAACATCGATTTTTGGCTAGAAAACATCGATTTGCCGATGTTATCAAAGTTAAAACATCGATGACAAAACTTTGATGTTCTCTAGCTGAACATCGATGTTTATTCAACATCGATGAATATTAAACATTCCTACTTATTACCTACGAAATATGAACACTTGTTACTTTAACAATAACAATAATACAATTTACGACAGACAAGGCTGTTTAGACTAGCCTAAACAGACATATTACATAGGCTGCTTAAAATACAATATGTCAAATATGTCAATTGCTGTCAAGCTCAATATGTCATGTCATGTCATTGTCAGACTGCGAGTTTATGGGTTTTCGGTTAATAATATACTTTTATTTAATTTAATTAAATTTAATTAAACTGAACGAAACACTATATTCTAGCGAAATCCACAAGGGCAACGCCATTAATTAAAAAGAAGAATAAACAACGTACAAAAAGCAGAGTCTATAAATTATGAAATAAACTGAGCGAAACACTGGATTCTTGCTGAATCCACAAGGGCAACGCCAATAAATAAATAGAAGAAGAGTTTTTGTAATAAAATTTAACTTTGTTTTCGTTACTAAAATAGAGTTACATTTATAGATCAAATCAATTTAAAATGAACCATAATCAAATGAACATGCATGTACCAATGAATCCAGTCGGTGCAGCTCCTAACGTAAACATGCAAATGCAAGTACCAGGCCCCATTATGCAGCAGCAATCTCCACAACAAATTCAACAAGCGATGCCTCAACAGGCACAGCAGGATAAAATGGACAACATATCTAAAGTAAAAACCTTGATGGGGTCGCTAAGAGAATCAATCCCAGTGAGTATAATTTCATGGGAATGACTTCTGTAATCCATATAGTAGTTTTTTTTTAAATATCACATAAACAAACCATCTTTTAATTATGATCTGAGATATAAAAGCAAACTTAGCTGCTGAAACAATATTGAAATAAATAATTATTTATTTAACATAACATTGTATAAAAATCAATGTCTAGCAATTGATTTTTATACATTCTCAAAACGATTTTTGATATGTGGAGTCTTCTACCAGGGCAAAAACATCATCATATCTTTTAATTCATATGACAGTAGAAAATATATACAATAGTTTAAACAATTTCTATTTCAGATGACATTAAAATCAGCTGCTCAAATATTACATCAGAATCATAATATAGATTCCAATTCACAGTAAGTATGAAAATCTAATGTCTTAAGACAATTTTTATCATCCACCATAGTGAATTTAGTGGGTCCAGGGGGCTGGTCATGGAGGTTATGCACCCCCCTCCCCCCGGGCTGTGTCGAGGACCTAGGTGGCATACTAATTAAAATTGTTTTACAATGTTATACATTTTGGCACTGAAGCTTAAAGATTTTACTCCACATAACTGAACCAAAAATTCATGGATAGTACACTAATAACTATAATTAATTGTTGTTCCAATTTTAAAACTTCGATGATGTTAACTTAACTTATTTAACAATATTCATACTTTGTGACATTTGAGAAGTAAGATCTACTTGTCTAGTACTTATATACAAGTCCTACTAATATTACAACTACAATAGTATGTGTGGATAGATAACCAAAGAGTAACCATTCTTTCATGCAAAAACTACTGAATTAACATATAGGCTACTTTTTATCCCATTAAACAGTTCTCTGGGGACATGTACTGTCAAGTCATTGTGTACTGTGTACATGCTTACACATTCATTAATAAATTAAAACCATATTTCAGGAAAGGCATGGAGAATGCTGTTCCACGATTTGATAAGAATTTAGAAGAATTCTTTTCTCTTTGTGACCAAATGGAATTACACTTGGTAAGTAATTAATGTTTTAGGTCTTTCTTGAGATATGTTTTCTGGAGTCTGATCCTTGGTGCTTTTTTCACACTACAAAACAAGTCTAAAATATATTATATAATAATAATAAAAAAAAAACTTTACAATTTAATACTTTATTAATGTTTTAATTGACAAAATAAGTATAATAAGTATTTATATCAAACAATATGGTTATTCAACAATTTTATTATTAATAATTATTTTATTTAAAAAAAATATAAAACACATTTTCATAATAATCAAAATTCTTGTGGGAATATTAATTTAAATAAATTACCAAAGCAATAATGATAATATCTTAAAAAAATATTCCATCTTAATTATATTTCCAGATTTAGTAGAAACCATTTGATTGTATTGAGTAATGAAAAACAAACCTATTTGGGTATTTTTGTTGGCAAATATTATTATGTGTCAATACTGGTCTTATAACTATATAGGTCATATTTTTATTTTTATATTGCTTATTGTGTTCATGTTTGTAAATCGAAGTCTGATAACAAATCATGTTTGCTTTCCTGACCACTGGGTGGCTTGTTTGCTTTTTTTGTTTACTTTATTCAGTTATAATGTACTTGGTATTTCTGATTACTAATGGCAACTAGATATATACTGGTGGACAATAAAATTAGGCTATCTACCAAACCATATGTCATGATTTGTGTTTCAAAATAAAAACATTTTTTTTTATTGATTATGTGTTAATTCTTAAATGAATTAATACATTAACAATCTATTTAAATATTAAAGAAAAAATAAAAATGAAGAAAAGAACCAATTATATAAATAGAAATCACCAAATTTTTGTCCATCAGTACATTAATTACTAAGGCATTAGAAGATTATACTTAAACCAATTTCAGAAAATGCTTATTGGCCCATCCTATGACTGGCCTTTGCTAAATTTACTAAATCTGCATCACAGACCAAACGCGTTAACTGGTCCTAGTAACCTGTCTTTAATTATCCGATGATAATGATAACCTGACGAAGATGTTATCAGACCAAATAAACTGATTTTATTTATAATCAAAGCCTTTGTTTTTTTTTGTTTTCTTTTATTTAAAGAGCGGGAAATCCGGTTGGCCGGATCGAACGAAGGCGTGTTCCGCTGAACTTTAAAATACGCCACTGCGTTTGATAAATATATTTATACTACTATTAGAACTTGCTAGTCTGTTGGGCGTCAATATCTGATAAAATGAGAACTTCAACTATCCACATAAATTCTACTGTGACGTAAATATTACAAATTGACTTTCCGCTAGCGATTTCACCCGCGTAGTTTACACGATTATTTGACAGTAGATTTATCTTTAGGGAACTGTTTAGTGGGATAAAAAGTAGCCTATGTTTAAATTAACTAGTATACGAAATTGCATCAAAATCCATTCAGTAGTTTTTGAGTAAAACATTAACAAACATGCATCGCCACAATCTTCGCTTTTATAATATTAGTATAATTATGTTAAGTTATGAAACTATTCAGTTGAATAATAATAATTAACTATTCAGTGAATATCTAACACATGCACTTGCAAATTTCAGAATTCGTCTTGGGTACTTGAAAAGAAAAAAAATCTTTTTTTTTCTCATTTAAATAAAGTTGTGTATTTATTTTTAATTGAGAGTGAACCTTTTCGTGACAGTTTAATATAACTAATTGCGGACTATAAAATAGTCACGTAAGCACATCAATAAATAACCACAGAGTAATAATAATAATGACAGAGATTAGCGATCGTTGCCAGGTCAATATGTTAATTAGTTCACTTCTAATAGATGTTTACACCGATATATATGTGTCTGATACCTACCTATTATAACAATACTGTTTGTCTCCATGTGGGTTTGAAAATAGTAGACTTAAAGACTACCGGTTTTTTTTTCGTTGATAGATGAAATGTCAACCTTATTACTGTGGTTAAGAATCTATATTGCTTTGATGACCGCTATCAACCGTAATGACAATGCAAGTTAATAAAGGAAAGTTTTGGCTAGACCTTTCAAACAAACATTAATGCTTAGTATATTTGATAAATTTGGATTCTCAATGCTATAATGAAAAATATTCTTAATGAAAAATGTTTAAAAAATCCAAAGGACTAACAAATGTTTCAAGCACTTGTTACTGAAATGAAATGAAAATGTTTTTATACAAGTAAGCTTGTTGCAAGCACTTTTGAATCGTCCAAAAATATTTTTTCCCCTACCAGGACAGTTCAGGACGTCTTGACGTACTTTTTTGCTACTACATTTTTGTTAATTTTATGTGTAGGTAAAATCAACGTGACATTGGCTGAATTGTGTAAACGTAAATATGCCATAAAACAAAAATTAGAAGACAATTTCTACAGTTATTTTGATATAAAAATAGGGCCTGCCCCGATAGAATCGGATCAAATAGAGAGAACGGGCCGTGACACAAAGCCCAGCGTGGATTAATGGGTATCAACGAATGCAGATGCAGCGAGACCAATCGCTTAACGTTCCGATATCAAGAAAACAAATTTTTGGTCACCCATCATAGCTTGGCCCTTGCGGAAATTGCCCCTCCACATCGCATACCGAACGAACTAACCACTGCGCCAATGACCGCATCAAAATTAAAATATTAATATTATATTTTTTTATATTTAGAATTCTAGGAATCGTGCTTCATGCACAGCTACATCTATGGCTCGAAGACGAGCGCAGCGCTGTTAGCGCCATAAATAAAACTTTATTACCCTTTCAAGTAGGTTTTATTTGATTGAACCTCTATACTGACAGCGCTCGTAGCGCTCGAAGGTACTTTTTTAACAGAAACCCACTGTAATACAATGTTTTGTTGCAGCGGACCGCCATTACGTGTATCCAGCAGGCCCAATCAGCGGCACATTACCTCCCTCTCACAGTGATACCTTCGCGGTTGGATTCCGGGCCTACTACACAGGTATACGTTTTAAAGCATAGCTTAGGTATATATGTGCGCCTACCGCTCATGAGACCTAGCAACTAATAGGGACCTCACGAGGCGTTAAGGAATTCGAATTAAGTTTTCACGTAAAAGAACGAGATAAATCAACCCGTCTTAAAGTAAAACGAGTTCGCCGAATAGTGGTTTCACCGAATATCTGAATACCGACCTTAACCGGACCGGATATTCGGTCGATTTATTCGGTTTACAATTTCACTGTTTTGCTGCGGTTTAAAATAAAGCAAAACTTAAATAATTTATTTTATTGAACACATTCTTCATAGGATTTTTTGACTTATAACATAAATCTTACATAAAGAGTTTTGTCTTTTAGTACCATACCGAGTTATGTAGTTAATAAAATAGAAATATTTGAACCCCATATCTGTGTCACCAAAAACTTAATATTTCGGCTAAATAGTGAAAAAGATGCCGAATACACCGAATACCAAATACCAAATGAGTATTGGGAGCATCTCTAGTTTAAACCATTGCTTTAACTACTAAAGTTGGTTTTCTTAATAAGACAGAAATAAGAATAACACGAAACGCGAAGTAGTGCATCAAAAACTATTTTTAATTAATTACTCATAAACCGTTACCACACGATTATTGTAAATGTTCTTCGCATTTTGTAGTAAATTTATAGTTATATTTATATTTTTTATTGCAATAAACTAGTGCTTAAAATCGTGATATCTATATTCCTTATGAAGTAATAATTATTCTGGTACACATTGGGTTCAATAATATTATCTTAGATAGGAGAAAATGGGTACAGACAATAAACTCCTCATCTAAAAAATCGTCATTAAGTCGATATGGTTATACGGAATCCAACTTTCGGGCAGTGCATTCAGATAAAATATTAACAAAGTTCAAAGAATGCAGAACGCTATATTGCGCTCAATAAGTGGTGTTCCTTTGTTCGTCGTCAATACCGAAATACATAAAGAGCTGATGATAGACACCGTATAGGAGGAAATTCAAAAGCACTAAGAAAGATATCAAGACCGTTTAGAAAGACATCCAGATGACCTTGCTGCAGCACTGACGATAAAATCTTACTCGAAAATCCTGAAAAGAAAAGACATATTATAGTCTCTCCATCCTCTGGAGACTCAAATAGCAATTTAGAGTAGATGCCTCTCTGGAGTAGCGCTCCCACAGAGAAAGACACTGAACAAATTTGCTAAAAGTCTAATAAGCTGATTGCAGATGAAAATAAAACAAAAAAAAAAGATAGGAGAAACTCACAGTTATACACAGCTATTTTCGAAGTCAATCCGGATTTAATGAGATTTTAATGATTTTGGTTTTAATTATAGAGTAAAGCACAATCTATAAAAGCGAAGCCGCTACAAACTATGCCAATAGTTATTCTGTACTATTCGATAAGTCAATATAAGTATATTATTTTGATTCGGAGATCAAGATTGACCGATTTTAAGCAAAAATCACAGTATATAAAATGTAATAGGGCCCTTAATTATTATTTTTATCTTTTCTTTCTAGAGATTTATTGCTTGTCAGGGTGTTAGTCTTTTCATCACACGGTTATTCTTTTTCCCTTGTTAGTTCAAGCTTATGCTATTCCATTACAATTTCTCAAGTCTATATATTTCTTATTATTAGTATTGGACATTATATTATATTAATATTTTTTCGGTCGCACATCTGATGACCTACCTTTGTAAAAGTTACTTAACTTTCACAATCGAGCTAACCGAAGTTTTCACCCAATCTTACATTATAAACTAACGGTTCATATTCTAAATAAGTAAGGTTCATATTCTCGAAATAGGCATACAATATAATTTACTATCAATGAAGTGTAATAAAGAGTGATATATATATATATTTTGATCATTAATAAGGCAAGTCTTTATCATAAGATGACCCATCAGAGTCAATTAATATTAAACAGTGTTATAGCTAACATACCAATGTAAGTACAATAAGTTCCAACTAAAATCCGGGCGGCTGCGAAATGCGAAAGCTCATGGGTTCTTCGAGTCCCATCTCATAGTGCCAGGGACAAAGTGGATTTTTAAGCATTTTCCATTAAGTGAATGCATAATTGATCATATATAATTTTCCGAAACTTCGTTTCTGGACAAAAAGAATAGACCGTCGAATCTACCAATTCCGACGACGAATGAACGTACGATTAAAATGTATAGTGAGTCCTGTTCCAATTATAATAAGGTGTACAATACAATTCGTAGTTGTCTTTTCACACTCAGCGTGGGTGAGGCGCATGTTTATTGGTGAATCGCTCGATGGCGTGATACTTAATCATTCTTATTGATTAACGCCATTTGCCGGGCTACGAAATTTAGCCTTCTAAGCAGATACATCAGTGAGGCTCATCAGTTCTATCTTACTTTAGAACGTATTTAAAGGTATACGTGACCCAGAGCACCTATACTAAGTTTATAATTTATCAAAACAACAGATAGATAGTTTGAGTTCCATGTTGGCTTGGGAGTAAAATATGTATTAAGAAAATGCTGACCTTATCTCAACCCTGAGGTATCGTAAAGAATGGAAAATTGCCCAGGTCTTTCAGACTACCTAACGTTCAAAGTTTCAACAAAACTCTAATATTTTTTTTTAATTAATCTTGAAAATAAAATGTTATGCTAATTGTAAGTGTATATAATTTGACTAGAATTTAGTTATATCTATGCCAGGGAAGAAAGGTAAACAAAATACCGTACAATATTTCATTTCTTCTCTTAAATATTTCTTTATAGTAAATAGTTGATAAACTTATGAGTCACTTTGTAGCCGAGATGTGATATTGAGATATTTACTATATTTATAATTGGTTGCGAGTACCTAATTAAATAAAAATTCTTTTAGAAGTTCTATTTCGGGTAATAAGCCAATATCTTCACGTTTGTGTCAATTACTTATTTAACCTCTATGTCTTTTTTTAGCTTTTTCATACGTACTCTTTATATTACCTGCTTTCCGTAGTCATATATTCGCAAATAAATATAACTGAAACTAATTGTTTAAGTCCGTTGCAAAATGAAGCGACGAATATATCATAACAATCAGACCTAAAACAATATAGATAAGTTCATTTTGTACATTGACCCGACCGGGAATCGAACCAGTTACCTCGGAGATAGCGACACCTTGAAGCCGGTGTGTGCGTTACTCGGCCACAGAGCTATAAATATATAGTAATTAATAATGTCTTCGTGATATCTGCCTTGCTTACTGACAAGTGATTTTTTTTTCTAGGAAACTACATTAAGCTACCCTCAGTATTTGAACACAGTGCGACTTCAGATCTCATATGCAAAGGATATTCACGATACGTTAGTCGCAGCCGCTCAAAATATATCACCTACGGAGTGAACATGATTAAGATAATGATAATCCTTTAGATGCACAAACGTCCATTAAGTTTCAATGATGTATTTAAGCTCTAATGAATGTCAAATTTGTATGGATAATGTTGCTTTTAACTAATGAAAAGTATAATGGACGTTTGTGCAATTGGCTGAATATGTATTAAGATTTAATTTGTAAGTGTAAATAAATTATTTTGCGTCAATTTATTGTTTCCTTTTGTTTTGATAAACATCGCGCTTCACTTTTAATTACTGGTGATGGAGGATGATTTCATATTCTCAGAGTATTGTTACGGCTACAAATAAAAAAAACTTTCCATTCAAATATTAAAAACAAAGGTAAGAAACAGTTTTATTTAAATTGCATTTCTTATTTCATTTCGTGTATTACTGTCTTGATCTTACCGACCATTGGGGGTAGGATTGCTACGCTCTACGGATTTAACCTGGTCTAATCTCCCCTTCCATCTACGTAGCTGTACAGCTATATCTAGATATTATCCAGGTTCCTCCTGGTCTATAACACCTATAGATAGTCGCCCATATGAGTTGACTTAGAATTGAAAATCCAGCCTTATTTCCACTATATTTTTTTCATTGTCTACCTGTTACTTTAGTCCTTTTAATAAGTCTAAAAGCAAAGATATAAAATTTTCCATAACTTTATAGTTTGCTAAAAAAAAACTTTTAAATCTTTAAAATCTAATAACCATATCAGTCTAGTTCTAGTCTATCAAAACAAGAACCCAAAATATCTACAAAAATAAAACACATTTCGTACATGATAATAAAGTTTATTGTAATTTAATTTGATTTGTTAAAATGTAAAATTGCATCGATATATACTAATGATTCGGTACATTAAAAAAACATTACAATTTAATTATATTTGTATCATCACTTAAATTTTATGTTATTATCATTTGAGATCATGGAATAACGTCATTAACACACAAAAGAGCTCCATAAAATTTGAAATATGACACTTTAATTAATAAACGTAGTTTAATATAGATACAATTAGAAACTTAAACTAATAGTAACTTAAAGTGCTATAATAAAAAAAGTAATTAAAGAGTCCAGCCAACGACACATAAAACCTTTCATACTATTCCTCTTTCGTTTGATTAAAATTGAAAAATCTAGACATAAATATCACATTTGGAACATCAGAATACTATCAGTCTTTATGTTAGTAGAAGACAGTTTCAGGAACCGTTGGATCACCAAGCTTTTGAACAGTCATATCTGAAACAAAAATAAGGTATTAGATTACCGTTGACAAGTAAAATCACTGCAATTTGGGGATTTTTTGATCAAATAAGCCACACTTGCTTGACTATGTTGACTATGTTGTATCTACGACTTTATAATTTGGTCATTAATATTTTCTAACATTATTCTACTGTCAGAGTAGAAGATGGGTACCGTCAGTGGGGGTACGATTCTTAAATACCTTGATGTGATAATGAGATGGACTGACGATATTGTCAAATGTCAGTTTATTAAAAGATTTTGGACATTTTTTTTTAAATTGAAGATAATTTATTCTTAATTGTAGAATCTTATTCCAATAAAGAAATCCTAATTTGACTTTTACTCATGGGGCAAATTATGTATAGAGTGCGGGACATCTCCTTTGCCCTGTTATGCTGTTGACTCTTAATTACAAACTACAGAAAGTTTTAATGTTACTTCAAATGATCATTTATTCGTTGTATAAAAAATGAAGAGGGCAAAAAAGAAGAAAATAGTGTCAGCCAATCGATTAGACAACATCCTAATCAATATCTATACCTACGGTATATGAAAACAGCAAGTAGAGTTCTTTAGTCTCCATCTATAAAGTGAACGAACGGACCGATAAACAAATGATTTATTACTATTACAAAGTAAGTATAAATAAAATTGATTGATATATTTTTCCAATTGCCTGACAACAGTCAGTGGGGGGTATGTTATCTGAAGGGACATAAATCCAAAACATCACTAAAGAAATATTGTCCTCGCCAGATACTTGTTTGTGCGGCTTCGACCCTTGATAAACTCATTATGACATAAATATACACGCCAGGAGACTGCGTGGAATAATACTACGGACAGTTCATTTATACTGCCACGCAATTTAGGGTTGTCAACTTTAAAAATAAAATAGCCCTAGTTTGCGGTTTATAAAACCGGACATTATGCCTTAAAAGGCCCTTCATCTTCTTTATAAGAACAATAATTATCCACCACCTTAGTTTTTAAGAGCAATTCGCCATCCTCTGTCCCTATCTTTCCTATTGCCGAGCGCAATGAGTTTTATCTAAAATTCAGACTTAACACATTGCCGTTTTCATAATATACGTTGCCTTCGTTCACTGGCGTTGCGTTTACCGCTTTTGTTGGGCTTTTGTACTAATGAGCAAAAAGCCCAACAAAAGCTGTACAATAGTACGGTCCCCTAAACCCTATCTTTCGAGCCATAAGGTAAGATATCTTACCGATGTTATTAATTAGTCAGATTATTATTGCAAAAAGTCATGCGGTCGAGTCCCACCTCAGAGTATCAGGGATCAGGGACATACCAGGGAAATGTATTTTATTAAGCATTTTTCATTAAGAATATATTTCAGCAAAAGACCAACAAAAGACATGTCAAACTAAAATGAAAATGAAACGAAACATCGCTATATCACATTTAATATGTCGCGTCCTATGATAAGATCATGGTTAGAGAGAGGAGGTTACACTTTCTGTGTTCTGTGGTCACACTATAGGCCGGAGTTACAAATATTAAGCCTAACTACCGAAAAAGCTAAACATGTCCGGTTAAAGTCTGACAAATGACAACCCTAACCCTATCGCAATAAACGGGAACAAACAACCATTCATTCATAGAGATTTCGAGAAAATAATGCTAGAATGTGGAAACAAGTAGTCGGGCGTCATATAGAATTCAATATTACCTATTCATCGTATGAAATGTGATTTTTAATAACAAGTATTTTTATGCCAAGCATCCAACCCGGTCTACATTTCCATGCTAAATCATTTATAATACTCTAATCTAAATAAAAATAAATGGAAAAAAAAATTGTTCTCTTCACAATATATTTGAGCATAATTTGTAATTCATTTAGAAGAAAAATATACTCATACAGAAAACTAAACTTTACGAGGGCTCTAAAGGAAATCGTTTTGACAAGGCCTTTGGTCCAAGACAATATGAAGTCTGATATTGGAACTGGAAGGCCATAGGAATTTTGTTATTGAGCAACGCAACCCTGTAGAGTTTGGGCACGTTTGATTTATCACATAAGATCTCTGCAGGCCAATTTTGCTAATGTTTACAACTAATATACTTCAATTTGACTAATAATTGTAGTTCGGTGGCGTAGTGGATAAGTGCCGCGGCACGCGATCGTTGTCGTTAAGCAGCTTTCGCAAAGGTCGGTCACGGGATGGGTGACCAAAAAATTATTATCTCGAGCTACTCCGTGCTTCGGAAGGCACGTTAAGCCGTTGGTCCCGGCTGCATTTGTAGTCGCTAATACCCGCCAATCCGCATTGGGCCAGCGTGGAGGGTCTTGGCCCATGCTCCTTAACCATCCATATGGAAGACCTGAGCCCCTGCAGTGGGGACGAAACAAAGGGCTGATGATGATGAATAATTGTACTATCTACCTAAAGTCCAATATTAATGGTGCAATGTCTTCCTCACACATCAATGGTGATAGATGTATAATTATATCGGACTTCCGGTAGATAGTACAATGGTCAAAAACAAATCGTTGATATTCTATTAAAATGCGATTATAGCGTACCTAAACATTAGCAGAATAGCCCTATTAGTTCAAGATGATTTCCATGGCAAGTGCTTTAATAGCTAGATACATATTTTTGCTCGCTTTATTATTATAGGGATAGATAATCGTCATATTTTCCACTAGCAAGTAAAAGTTAAAGTTGTGAATGAATGATAAATATGTTTATAAATGTTGAAGTAAATAATTAATTTTTGTACTTATCTACTTCATAAACAGGACATAAGTAGGGTAATATTGGGCATTCTGTCCCCCACTCGTTCGTGTCGACGTTTTGCCGCCACTCACTCATGGAATGACAGTATGCCCAATATTACAAATAGATATTACATTCATTTGATGACGGTTTTTTGACGAAAATCCATAAAATGTTTCTGATTACTCGCACTTTATATAAATAGTCAAATTTGTACAAATTGACTCACTTTATCTAGGACACCCGAAAGAATTGCTTACTACTATGAAATTTATAAAACAATCTGAAACGTTGCAATTGGATAGAATTTGTTCAGATACTGAGACAGTTATTTCTCGACATGGAAACTTGCTTCCTAATTCAGTTCGGTGTTTAGTTTGCGGTCCATCAAACTGTGGAAAAACAAATTTAATAATAGGTCTTCTGTTGCATGAAAATGGATTACATTTTAAGAATGTATATTTATACTCAAAAACACTGTATCAAACTAAGTACATTTATTTAGAGAACGTCTTTAAATTGCTACCTAGTGTTACGTTTGCAAAATACAGTGATAATGAATTGATTCTCAGTCCACATGATGCTAAGCCCCATTCTGTAATAATTTTTGATGATGTTGCTTGTGAGAATCAAACTAATATGCGAGATTATTTCGCTATGGGCAGACATAAATTTATTGATTGTTTTTACTTAAACCAAACATATAGTAAAATACCAAAACAACTAGTAAGAGACAATGCAAACCTTATAATATTATTCAAACAAGACGATATAAATTTACGACATGTATATGATGAACATGTGAATACAGATATGTCGTGGTCAGAATTTCGGGAAATGTGTTCAAAAATTTGGAAAGATACATACAACTTTTTAGTTATTAATAAAGATTGTGCAAAGAATGACGGTTGCTACAGAATGAACTTCGACACCTTCGTTACTTTCGATGAGTAACAAAATAAAGTTACTTTCAATCTAGAACACAATTCATTTAAGAAGTAAAGCTATAAGATACAACACGTTGCATAACTCAAGCTACTGTTCTTTCAAAATGGAAA